AAGGGTGGGTGCATTTACTATGAAAGAGGTGTATTACGGTTGGACAGACATGTAGCGCAAATGCCAGGTTTTGTTTACGTTTTGTTTTGTTCACAACGTGTACATTTGGCTCCGTCCTTAAGGGGTTAAAGCATTTAAATCTGACAAATCAGATGCATCTTATAAAAGATATAAGGAAGCAAATAATGCGTGCAAAAAGGCAATTAGACTTGCTAAACTTCAGAATGAAAAGATGATAGCTAAAGAGAGCAAAACCAACCCCAAAGAATTTTTTAAGTACATAAATTCTAAAAAACCCAAAAATGAAAGTGTAGGTACACTAAAAACTGAAACGCAGGTGTTAGTTAATGAAGACCAGAAAAAGGCAGGAATTTTAAATAACTATTTCTCCTCCGTATATATTAAGGAAGAACCCATGACAATAGATATGCAAATGATTGCTACTAAAAACTTGCAGAATAATTGTAATTGATTAACTCAAGAAAAGGTGCTGCAGCAACTAAAGAAAATTAATATAAACAAAGCTCCAGGGCCTGACGATATCCATCCACATGTACTTAAGAAACTAAGTGTAGAAATAAGTGAACCTCTGTTTTTAATCTTTCAAGATTCTTTTCTTTCAGGAAGTGTTCCGGAGGATTGGAGGATGGCAGATGTGGTTCCTATATTCAAAAAGGGTTCAAAATCCTTGCCTGGAAATTATAGACCTGTGAGCTTAACTTCTGTGGCTGGTAAAATATTTGAAAGGTTATTAAGGGATAATATTCAAGAATTCCTTGAGAAGAACATGGTTATCAGCAAAAATCAGCACGGTTTTATGAAGCAAAGGTCATGTCAAACTAACTTGATTGCATTCTACGAAGAAGTAAGTAGAAGTATAGATCAAGGTGTTGCAGTGGATGTGATCTATTTGGATTTTGCCAAGGCATTTGATACAGTTCCATACAATAGATTAGTGTTCAAAGTCAAGGAAATCGGTCTAGATGAAAATGCTTGTTCTTAGGTAGAACATTGGCTTAAAAACAGAGTACAAAGAGTAAATTTTCAAACTGGACAGAGGTGGCAAGTGGTGTCCCTCAGGGGACCCCTTCTATTTAACATATTTATAAATGATCTTGAAGACAGCATTGAAAGTCATGTTTCAGTGTTTGCAGATGACACAAAACTTTGTAAAATAATACAATGTGAGCAAGATATTACCATATTTTCCAGCGTATAAGACGACTGGGCGTATAAGACAACCCCCAACTTTTCCAGTTAAAATATAGAGTTTGGGATATACTCGCCGTATAAGACTACCCCTCTTCCAACGCACACCAAATAAAAATTAGCCATGATGTACAGTGAGCAGACAGAGCTATACAGCAAGACATTAAATAATGATAATCTGAAATAGAATTTAAAGCCCAGGTATGTGCCAGGCTGTTTGGGCATATAATCCATGCCTGCTGGTCTAGCACACAGGAGGCTAATTGCGATATATGTGCATACTGTCAATTAACGTTAACCTTTTATTCTGCTGTGACTACTGTATTTTAAACCTGGCTGGACTTGGCTACCTGGATTTGGGGAATTTATGGGGTGCATGGGGCAAACTCTACCAAGGCTGGGCGAAATGGGGCAAACTGTACTCAGACTGGGGTGGCATGGGGCAAACACTATACCAGCTTGTTGGCATTGTGGAAAGTGCACTCATGATGTGTGACATGAAGCATACACTATACAGAATGTTCTTACTACTCCCCCTCCCTCCCTGTGTCCTTTTTAATCCCCCCTCCATTCTTTTTACTCCCACCTCCATTCTTTTTACTCCCCCCCTCCATTCTTTTTACTCCCCCCCAATTCTCCCTACGTTCCTCTCACCTCCCCTTCCCTGTGTAGAGTGGGTTTTCCGAGCTCCTCTTCATCCTGTCAGTCCAGCCAGGTACCGTGCGGTACAAGAGATTCAGTTACCTGTTCCCGGCCGGACTGACAGAATGAAGAGGAGCTCGGCCACCCATGCTACACAAGGAAGAGGAGGTGAGAAGAGAGGCAGTGCGGCAGCCGTCTGAGCGCTCTCTATAGAGCGCTCAGGTGGCTGCAGCATTAGAAGAGACGGCGATGGTACGCAGGGCGCCCCCTCCTATATGGCACCCTAGACAGCCATATAGACGACTCTATACCGGGCGTATAAGACGACTCCCGACTTTTGAGAAGATTTTCCAGGGTTAAAAAGTCATCTTATATGCCGGAAAATACGGTACTTTGCTGCAGAGGGATTTAGATAGACTGGGGGACTGGGCACTCAAATGGCAGATGAAATTTAATGTTGAAAAATGTAAAGTTATGCACTTCGGCATAAAGAATACACAAGCAACGTATACCCTTAATGGAAGCGAATTAGGGATAACAACACACGAAAAGGACTTGGGAATTGTTATAGACAACAAACTATGCAACAATGTGCAATGTCAATCAGCAGTGGCCAAGGCCAGTAAGGTATTGTTATGCATGAAAAAGGGCATTCATTCTAGGGACGAGAATATCATTTTGCCTCTTTATAAATCACTGGTAAGACCCCATATTGAATATGCTGTGCAATTTTGGGCACCTGTTCTAAAGAAGGATATTTTTGCACTAGAAATAGTGCAGAGGTGGGCTACAAAATTAATAAAAGGAATGGAACATATCAGCTATGAAGAAAGGTTAACAAATTTAAACCTCTTTAGTTTAGAAAAACGTCGCCTGAGAGGGGATATGATAACATTATATAAATATATTCTGGGCCAATACAAACCATTGTGTGGAAATCTATTTACAAACCGGACTTTACATAGGGCACGAGGCCATGCGTTTAGACTGGAAGAAAGAAGATTTTGTCTAAGGCAAAGGAAAGGTTTTTTTACTGTAAGAACAATCAGGATGTGGAATTCTCTGCCTTAAGAAGTGGTTTTATCAGAGTCCATACAGATGTTCAAACAGCTACTAGATGCATACTTGCAAAAACAGAATATTCAAGGATATAATCTTATGTAAGGTAATAACTGCTTGATCCAAGGATAACTCTGACTGCCATTCTGGGGTCAAGAAGGATTTTTTTCCTAGCTTGTTGCAAAATTGTGCTTCAAACTGGGTTTTTTTGCCTTCTTTTGGATCAACAGCAAAAAAACTAATGTGAGGAAGGCTGAACTTGATGGACGCAAGTCTCTTTTCAGCTATGTAACTATGTAATTAAGCTGAAGTTGTTCAGGTGACTATAGTGTCCCTTTAAGTTTACTAATTTTTTTAATAAATATTTTTAGTGAGTTAACTGGAAGGCAATTGGATGCCTTCAGCTTAGCTTCCTGTAAATAATTGTTAATCGCTCAGTTTTTTACATCTGGCATTCAGAAATCATACATTTCATAGAGAAGAGGAGAAATTAAAGGGCTACTCCTACCGCCATAACAACTTCTGCTTTTAGAAGTGGCCATGGTGGTAGGAATCTACATGTACTGTGTTTCTGTTTGAAAAGCTGAATATAGAAAGAAATATGCACTTTCATTTAGGGGGTTAATTACACCCACAGCACAGGTAACTTAGGCAGCCTAGAACTGTATTCCACCATATGGCCATATCATGGTAAGCCCATCACTATGTAACAGTACGTTATTGATTTTCAAGTGAACCAAATCGAAGACTGAAAATTATTGGAACTGAAACTATATGAAATGAAAATATTATTTCCTTGAACATTTCTAATGGTTAAAGGGACACTACAGTCACAAGAGCAACTACAGCTTATTGTATTTCACAAAATGGAGAAATAAAGTAAACAGAGTGCAGGTCAGGATTCCGGATACAAGTCAAGGGGTCATGAGCTGCACCACTGTAACCACCTAATAGGAGCTCCAATGAGGGGGTAACCCTCCAAAATATGTAGGTAATAGGAGTAGGTGATGTGTAGAGTCCCACAAGAGGAAACCAACATCAGGAGAGCTCCACTGTATAAGAAATGGGGAAGGGAGGACATACCTTTAATCAATCTAAGGATAAAAAGGGATATGCAAACAAAAAGTATAACTTAAAAAAAGGAAGATCTACTAAACGGTGCCCAGGGGTCAATTGTCTGGCGTACTAGCTAGCATCTATGTTCCAGTTCCCCTAGTGTCCGACTGACAGGAAGGTAGTGTAAATGAGGTTAGGGAGAAAGAAGAGGCACAGGGTCTAAACGCAGATGAAAAGCCTCACACAAAAAATAAAAAAAAAATAAATAAATCTCTCAAGTCACCCTAAAAGTTACCTCGACACCGTGGTTTAACCACTAGTGTTACCAACTCTGAACCAACTCTCCCTACTAAAGTTATAAATAAATAAATAAACACCTAAAATCAATAACCATAGTGGTAACAAAAATAAAAACGTGCTACCAAGTGCAGAGATTAAAGAAAAAGAAAATGCTCCTGATGACGGCGTTTTGAACACGCTGAAACGCGGGTGACATTGATCTAACTAATCAATATCCTATCAATAGGAATGCTGGAAAAGTGAATTGGGCATGACTAACAGATTCACACACCTTGCTACATTCTGACAGGTGGAATGAGTCTGGTCAATGTGATTAATGCAGAGCAGTTTTCTCTCTCCTTCTGCACAATGATGCTATTTCTGACAATAGACTAGTCTGAAACTAAAGATACATGGATAAGAAAAAATATTTATTAGAATACCAGTGTGTCTGCTAATGGCAATGTTTTAGATTAAGTTTTGTGTTGTGATAAAAGCCTTCCAAAAAAACAAACAAAAACAAAACAAAAGTAGCATTTTTCCTGAATTTTAGAAAATCACTTATTTTATTCCATAGATATAATATAAAATTTTAATATTGAGGCATCTGTGGTTGGCTCACAAACACCTAGTTAGTTACTTATTTATTTATGTTAACCAATTTGATTTTCAGATGCTAGGTTATTGCTCAATATTGACCTAATTTAAATATCCAACAAAGGCGGAGAAAAAAAAAAGTCTTTATATTTTAAGAGCAGTGTTTTTAAGCAGCAGATAATCGTATCTGTTAACTTGAAGCATCACTAAAGACTACAGCAATGGATGCAACACTTTACACTGCGATATGTGTAGTTCTGACTTTGGCTGTTCTATATATTTTCAGTATTTCAAGCAACTGGAAAAAAAACAGTAAAACCCCCCAAAATAATTTTCCTCCTGGTCCCAGACGTCTGCCACTTATTGGAAATTTGCACAATGTCGATTTAAAGAAACCGCATCTGGCTTATTTTAAGGTAAGAAGGTGTCTTTTTAATTGGAGAAAACATTTCGTTTACAACACTTCCATTTCTATTTTAGTTTTCAGATTACATGCTAAAGTGGAATAAAGATCAGCCTATCTACTTATTAATACCCCAGGATAAATTCATTATTTTCTTTATTCTGTTATATTTCTAGGGTTCATGCCCAGAGTGAGTGGGTACCACTCATACTGACCACCTCTGTTGGGAATATTTCTCATACAGGGATGTTAGTCATTTCTTCTAGTGTCTGCATGCTAAAGTGCTATATATATCTGTATGTCTGTCCTTCTACATATCTAATACTGGCAAAAGTCAAGTTAAATATATTGAAACCTGAAGATTGACCCGAAAGTCAACAACAGAAAGGACTTAGTGGGTAATGGTGGAATGGTAATTTACCCTCTACTCTTTCAGTCTTCTATGGTAATTTCTTTTCCAAGTTAAATATATGTTGAGAAAGCAAAATTAAACATGCTTTCAAAAATCAATTGGAATTTTAAACTTGTTGCGTGAGACCCAGAGGAATGAATTATAAATAAAATGTAATTAAATTAACTGTGAAATAATATACCGCATATACTCGAGTATAAGCCGACCCGAATATAAGCCGAGGCCCCTAATTTTACCCCCAAAAACTGGGAAAACGTATTGACTCGAGTATAAGACTAGGGTGGGAAATGCAGCAGCTACTGGTAAATTTCTAAATAAAATTAGATCCTAAAAAAATTATATTAATTGAATATTTATTTACAGTGTGTGTATATGATGAATGCAGTGTGTGTGTATGAATGCAGTGTGTGTATGAGTGCAGTGTGTGTATATGAGTGCAGTGTGTGTGTATGAGTGCAGTGTGTGTGTGTGATGCAGTGTGTGTGCATAAATGCAGTGTGGTATGAGTGCGCAGTGTGTGTGTATGAGTGCAGTGTGCGTGTATGAATGCAGTGTGTGTGCATAAATGCAGTGTGTGTATGAGTGCAGTGTGTGTGTATGAGTGCAGTGTGTGTATATGAGTGCAGTGTGTGTGTGTGTGATGCAGTGTGTGTGTGTGTGATGCAGTGTGTGTGTGTGTGTGATGCAGTGTGTGTGATGCAGTGTGTGTGTGTGTGTGTGGCAGAGCCTTGGTGGGGGGGGGTGGGCATTTTTATAAAAAAAAAAATAATAATATTATTTTAATTTTTTTTGTTATATTATTTTTTTTATTATTATTATTTATATATTATTAATTAATATTTTCATTTTTTTGTTATATTATTATTTTTTTTAATTATAATTATTATTAATATATTATTAATTTATTTATTTTGTTGTCCCCCCTCCCTGCTTGATACATGGCAGGGAGGGGGGCTCTCCTTCCCTGGTGGTCCATTGGCAGTTCAGTGGGGGGAGGAGGGGGGTTGGCAGAGTTGTTACTTACCTCTCCTGCAGCTCCTGTCAGCTCCCTCCTCCTCCGCGCCGGTCCGTGCAGCTCTTCTGGCAGCTCACACTGTAAGTCTCGCGAGAGCCACACTATGACCCCGCGGCTCTCGCGAGACTTACACTGGGAGCTGACCGAGGTGCTGCACGGACCGGCGCGGAGGAGGAGGGAGCTGACAGGAGCTGCAGGAAGGTAAGTAACAACTCTGCCAGCCCCCAGTCTGTATTATGGCAATGTAAATTGCCATAATACAGACTGACTCGAGTATAAGCCGAGTTGGGGGTTTTCAGCACAAAAAATGTGCTGAAAAACTCGGCTTATACTCGAGTATATACGGTAACAATAGTCTTTTAAAATGGACTTTAGGGGACATGTGCTATTAAAGGACAGAAAAATAGACATCAACAAACCATTTGTACTTTTATATATATATATATATATATATATATATATATATATATATATATATATATAGCACTAGTATTCTAAAATAGAGACTTAGCAAATGTCATAACTGTGCAAATATATTCACAAATGGGAACTATGTTAGCATGCTGAATTATTATATTTAACTGTTATCTATTTTATGCAAATGTGCATTTTTATTCACTATTTATTATAGTTGCACAATTATTTTATTTATCTTGATTGTGAATGGTTAAGGAGCAAATAAAGAAAATGAGACATGTTATTAAGCATTTTTTTTTATTTTCTTGTAACATTCATAGTTCTTATCAATTCATCAATTGAGGCTGGTGAGCACATATGCATGTGTGTGTACACTTTTCTTTTTTCCTTTTCCCTTTTTACTTTGAATTGTTTTACTTTACATTAATTGTTATTTATATTTATTCAATGGCTGTTTTATTAGTTTTTTATACTGATTCATTAGCAGTACAGATTTATCCAATGGGATTAGATTTGTACACCCTATTATGTGCGTACGATTATGCATATGATTGAGTAATAAACTTTGATTAGTGGATACAATTAAATGTCCCCAATATAAAAAATCAACATGTGCCTATGAATTAGGACCTATAAAAATATTAAAGCAAGTTCTCTTTACTCTGCTATCGTCCCTCTATATCAAGTATCATTTTTTTTTTTTTTTTATATAAGGATTTCATGAGGAATCTTATTTTGGAGGTTTGTAAGTAGTAGCAAATCATATCTCGTCTTGTTTAGTCTTTCTGCAGTAGCTAATAGTGGGATCAACGCAGAATAAACAATAGCAGAAAAAGTGGATAGTGAGCCTACTGGGTGTTAAAGGTTATGGGAGCAAGAGTTCACGATTATTGGGTTATGAGAACAGAAGTATGGAAAAGATTAGAATGTAAGTAGGGACAAATAAATATAACTGTAAATAGAATTATTGTAAAGTTGCAGTATCAATCAAGGAGAAATCAGGGCCGGATTAAGAACACAGTGGGCCTGGTGCTGACAATTATGATGGGCCTAATTACGGAATCTTATCGACCAAAAACACTAAAACAATCATACCTCCCAAGCGTCATGTATCTGATGGAGATGGTACTGGAGGAAAACTCATAGGATGCAGCTATAAGAAAACACATACCCTATGCTAATTTCTTTCTAATTTATGCTTTCATCTTTCAAGTAAATCCATAACCCCTAACAGCAGTGTCCAGTGAAGCTGGAAGTCAATGGGAGAGGTAAAAGGGTGGGCCACTGGCGCGAATCACGTGACAAGACCTGCCAAAGTGGTGAACATGCCCAAAAAGGGGGCATGTTTGTCCAAAGAATTGGAAGGTCAGCCTGGCATGAATGCACGTCAGGCTGCCTGCCAATCCTGCAGGCTGTCCAACTAAGGGCATACTATGCAGGCAGCACCTTACGCTTTACATAAATGCATCTAATGATGCGTTCACTCCATTCTTTCTAAGGACTGTCCCCTAGCACTCGCTGGTCCACTTGTCTCCTTGCCTTCTTACTAGCAGGCAGAAGTTCCTGGTATAGTCTGAGACAGAGAAAAGGTGTCTGTAGTGAGTGTAGAAGAAAGGGGACATGCCACAGTGTTAGAGAGACCAACGTCTGCATTACCTAAACTAACTTTAATGTCAGCCAGTGCACACAAGTTTTGTTCCCATACATCCCTCTTAAGCTTCCAAACTTAAAGGGACACTATAGTCACCAGAACAACTACAGCTTATTGTATTTGTTCTGGTAAGTAGAATCATTCCATTCAGGCTTTTTGCAGTAAACACTGTCTTTTCAGAGAAAATAACTCCACTGGCCGCTCCTTAGATGGCTGCTAGAGGTGCTTCCTGGGGCAGTACTGCCTAGTGTGCAGCACTGCCATTCAGTGTCTCCACCCTCTGCATGCAGACACTGAACTTTCCTCATAGAGATGCATTGATTCAATTTATCTTTATGAGGAGATGCTGATTGGCCAGGGCTATGTTGGACTTGTGCTGGCTCTGCCCCTGATCTGCCTAGTTCACAGTCTCAGCCAGTCCTATGGGGAAGTATTGTAATTTGCTCAGACCACCACTTCTGAGCCAGCAGCTGCAGAATTGAATACAAGTAATATTTTACTGTATTTAGGGAGGGAAGAAGGGGCCAGGGTGGTGGTTTTAACATAATAGGGTAAGAAATACATGATTGTGTTCCTGACACTATAGTGCTCCTTTAAGCAAGAGTATGTGAAGAGTAGTTAAGGTTGCCACCTTTCTTGAAAAAAAATACCAGCCTTAATCATTTGTATAATTAATTAGTTATACATGTAAATCACAAGGAGTGACATCAGAGAAAATTCTGTAAAATCAACAACAAACTACTCACAGTTTGCTCCCAGTGTCTCCCTGTCTCCCAGTGTCTCAGTCTCGCAAGTCATCCAGTGTCTCAGTGTCTCTATGTATCACAGTGTCAGTGTCCCCATGTCACCCAGTCCCCTAGTCTCCCAGTGTCTGTGTCCCCATTTCTCCCAGTGTCCCAATGTCTCAGTGTGTCCACATGTCACTAGGATACTGGGGACACAGAGACATGGGGACACTGAGAGACCCGGGGACACAGAGACATGGGGACACTGAGACATTTAGGGAAACTGGGAGAAATGGGGACACTGAGACACTAGGGACACAGACACTGGGAGACATGGGGACACTGAAACATTTGGGGACACTAAGACACTAGGGACACAGACATGGGAACACAGACACTGGGAGACTAGGGGACACTGGCTGGGAGACAGACACTTAGGGACACTGGGAGACATGTGGACACTGGGACATATAGGGACACTGGGAGACATGGGGACACCAGGCACACTGAGACACTAAGAACACAGACACTGGGAGACATGGAGACACTGAAACATTTGGGAACACTAAGACACTAGGGACCCAGACACTGGGAGACTAGGGGACACTGGGAGACTAGGGGACACTGGGAGACTAGGGGGCACTGGCTGGGAGACAGATACTTGGGGAGACATGGGGACAGTTGTGGACATAGACATGGGGACATTGGGACACATGGGGACACTAGGCACACTGAGAGACATGGGACACAGACACTGGGAGACTTGTGGACACTGAGACACTAGGGACACTGGCTGGGGGACATAGTGTCTCCATGTCCCAATGTCTACCAATGTCCCTATGTCTCACAGCATCCCCATGTGTCTCAGCATCCCCATGTGTCCCCTAGGGTCTCAGTGTCCCCATGTTTTCCAGTGTCCCCAAGTGTATGTGTCCCCAGGTCTCACAGTGTCTGTGTCCCCATGTGTCCTAGTGTCTCAGTGTCCCCTAGTGTCTGTGTTCCCATGTGTCCCCTAGTGTCTGTGTCCCCTAGTGTCTGTGTCCCCTAGTGTCTCAGTGTCCCCATGTTTTGCAGTGTCCCCAAGTGTCTTAGTGTTCCCAAGTCTCCCAGTGTCTGTGTCCTAGTGTCCCCTAGTGTATGTGTCATCATGTGTCCCCTAGTGTCTCAGTGTCCCCATGTGTCCCCTAGTGTCTCAGTGTCTCCATGTGTCCCTGCTGCCTTTCCCCCCCATCCCTCACTTACCTGAGCTGTACAGCTGCTGTCTGGACTCTCTGTGCTGTGTAGCTGCTCCCCCACGGATCAGTGAGTAGTAGAGAGTAACTTCCTATCCCTGCATCTCTCCACACATAGTGACCCCTACTGGCCGGTGCTGGTATTGCAGAGTAATTTCCATTTATTCTGAGAAAATTACCTGCATTTGTATTGCCGGTATTACTGCAATACCGGCACGGCCAGGCAGCCTCAAATACCATCTGTGCCATTAAAATACCAGTCAGGTGGCAAACCTAAGAGTAGTGTGTAAACTCTTAAATGGGCCTATTCCATGGGCCTGGGCCTGGAACTGCAGCTCCATCAGCCCCTATGTTAATCCGGCCCTGGGAGAAATAGATCTCCCATTATTTATAGAGAGCCAACATATTCATTAGAACTTTATAATTATAGGGGATATTTAGAGGTAAAGAAGGCCCTGCTCGAAAGAGTCTACGATCTATGAGAATTTCAGGGAGAAAGATATACTTTATATTACTAGGTGTCTTGCCCAAGGACACTTACTGGTGAGAGGGTTTGACCAGGATTTAAACTGGGCTTCCCAATTTTAAAACAGTGATACTCTAATCAGTTAAACACAAGTACATGTATTAGCAATCAGAGATAAGCAAGCATTGAGTATTCTTTTTTTTTAGTTCTTTATTTTTGGACAATCATAATACATTGCATACATTTCAATGAGACTTGTATGGATGTCAAATGGTCCATCTCAAGTTTACAACAATACATTTTAAATTTAACTCGACATGGGGGTGTGGCTAACCACAGAGAGAAATGGACATGTGATCCCTTGCTCCGGCACGAAGGGTCGACAATCCGATCCCATCCTGCACAATAGGGCATCTTTAACCCAAACAACAACAAGATGGCACAACAGAGGGGCCAGAAGAACGCCTCCAAGGCGGACAAATTAAATTTCTTTGGAAATAAAACTCACCCGGAGCCGGAGGAGGTTTATGCCTTGTCCCAAGATGGCCGATCCTACTCCGACGGACCCGAGCACACTTCGGTGGCAAACGAGTCAGAACCTGACACACTCACGAGGAGTTACTTGCAACAAGCATTAGACACTCTATCAGCTAAACTAATCACATTGTGGCAACATATGGCATATTCGCTGAGGAAAGATGTGCAAGAAGTCAGCAAACGCACATCTCATGTGGAGAACAAGATGGAAGAGTTTGCCACAGCACACAATGATTTAGCCTCACATGTCAAACAACTTGAACAAAAACTCACCGCGACAGAGACAAAAATAGCAGACCTCGAAGATAGGGCACGCAGAAACAACCTGCACATTCAAGGAATCCCGGAGGAGGTATTAACAGAAAATCTGCAGGCGTATGTCAGGGGTCTGCGCCAGACACATGCCCCAGATATACCGTCTGACTACTAATCAATCGAGTGCACCGTCTGACTAGTACACGATTCTTACCTAACACAGCCCAGCGAGATGTGCTGATGCAAGCACACTACTTCCATATCAAGGAGCACGTAATCCGAGCGAGCAAGAACAGAGCCAAACCGCCGGAAAATTATTCACAAATAAAGATATTTGCAGACCTCTCTGCCTCCACTTTATGCAGAAGAAGAGATTTCTCACAGATAGCTGATTCCTTAACCCCTTAAGGACACACGACGGAAATATTCCGTCATGATTCCATTTTATTTCAGAAGTTGTGTCCTTAAGGGGTTAAGGGCACATGGCCTAAGATTCCGCTGGGGATTTCCCACCAAGATGTTAGTAACAAAGGACAGCAATACCCAAGTAATATCCTCACCTGAAGATGGTCTTCGCAAACTACAGTCTTGGGGATTTATAGAACGCAGAGAAGAAGCTACCACCTCACCTTCTTGCAGAATTCAGCTAGAATGGAATAAAGCTCCGGCCTCAAAAGCAGCTAGATAAACAGCAAGTATAAAAGAACTGACAAAAGAGTATGCGTACAAGACAAACTAAACATGTTGTTAACATGTCAGCCATCACAAAAGGCTTAATTAAGTTAATGTTGTTTTTCTGTTCTTTTTTATTCTCAACTTGGTTTAAATACTACTTTCTCCATATTACAAAATGCCATTACAGACGGTAACAAAAAAAGGGAAGAGGGAGGGAAGAGAAAAGGAAAAAAGGACTTTATATGGCTTACTCCTGATCTACCCTTACACAGAGGGAACAGGCAAGTCCTCCCCATGATGGGGATTAGCGCAAATTAATTCAAAACTCACAACATGTATTTATGGCATATACACAAGTAAGAGGATTCATGAGTGGGGAGTGGGGACGGGGGGACTGGCCAATGCTCCCCTACCATACCCGACTCCAGACACACCCTGGCTTTTCATGCCACTGTCCTACCTCCCTCTTCCCCCACTAATGGACACAACACAGGGAAGCAACAGATATCACGACAGACTTCCACCTATAAATCAACTTCCAACAGTCACATACAGTAGCAGACACAGACAGAAGAGCCAACAGGACCCCTTGAACGTCTTGGAAGTCAAGGAAACTCCACCAAAGCTCAGGGATAAAACCAAGCCACCGACAAAAAGACTAATAGATAGAAACCGCAGGGCCCACAGATAGACCAGCACCAGTAAAAGCCACTAGCCATAAATAGACACCATACCCACAGAGAACCCTGAAAACCGACCCGAGAGGCCTGAGGAACCAAAGACTGGGACAACACAAGCTTAACCACTCATTAGACTGACAAGACATACCGGTCCTCAAGGCACGCCATAGAAGCACCTTGATGACTAACCTACCCTTACCTACCCAAATAACGAACTGTCAAACATAGAATCTTAAAAATTGAATAGGCCTGCAATGTATATTTGACAAAGAAACATTGTACCCACTTACCCTTTCTTAATTCTGTAACCCTAAAACCACATACAAATGAAAAACAATGAAAAATAAAGAATTTAAAAAAAAAGGGTACATGAGAAGGGGAAATACACAAAGTGGGGAAAAAACAAGATGAGGTTCTGTATAGTTCCTTTCTGATTAAATCCGAGCGTATGGAGCCCACCACACTTAGAGATCCTTAATGAGGGTTGTATGCTTACAGCCGACCTAAAGATATCCCCAGGAACCCCTGGTTAGCCTCCTGAGGTCTCCGGACCACTCACCAGGCATGTCAAAGGAGGAGCCGTGAGACCTGGTCCGGGGTCACACACGTGGACAGAGGCCGGGGACAGGTGGAAAGGGGAGCCGGGAAGAAGAAGTATGCAACCCACTCTGTGACAAATAGATCAGTAGAATATGACACCCTAACTCACAAAATACATATAAGTGACACGAACCATAGCTTGGAAATAGTCATATATCAAATACGCTGGCAAGAATGATCTTAATGATATCATACCCCTGGGGCACACTGACATCCTCCATTCCCCCCTCCTCCTGGGGCAGGCACACTAGACGTTCCAAAAGGTCACGGAGCAAGACCCTGGCGTGGCTTGTTAAGAAAGAATATGCAAAACACTAAGATGGAGTTATGGCTATACCATCTGGAAAGAGGCAGATGTATATAAAAATTAAAAGATATACCAAAATATATGCGATATTAAAGATATAAAGTGATATAGAGGTTCACAAATGTATAAATGCCTTAAAATTAAATGGGCAGAAATGTGTAATATTTATGTAAAACAATGTGTATATATGGAAATGTATAGATGTATGGGGATATGTGCCAATGAAAGATGCCATTTAAACATGGGGAACATAGATCACCAACATCCTCCCTACCAACAACACACAGAAGGAAGGTCCCAAATGACCAGCAAGAGTAGCACCCTGACCAGGGGTCACCATGCCCCAATGCCCTACGCACTCAAAATGATTTGATAGACCCGCAGCCATGAGACGGAAACATTAATATTTCCATCCCCACGGTATTACTTACCAGTACCAAGCTTTGCAAATATTTTGTTTTGGTTTTCACCGTGTTTACCCTGCGCTCCTTCCTGCCAACTAGTCCCGATTGGCAAAAAGACTACATGCTAAGCAATAAAATTGAATCGACACTACCAACTGTACTTTACACAAATATCATGGGGAAATATCAGAGATTGAGGGAACAAGATTTGGATTTAGGTATACCCAATAACGTTATAATAACATTAATTTATGAAGATACAAACACATAATGTAAGGGGGTTAAACACCCCACAAAAACGTAGGGTTCTTCTGGATGGAGCTAGGATGGCCAAGGTAGACATTTTGTGCCTACAAGAAACTCATTTTGTTCACGGCAGAGTGCCTGATTTCGGGAAACAGGACTATACCACTCAATACCACACAACATACTCATCCAAGACTAGAGGGGTATCGTTCTTGTTTCACAAGTCCCTGACGTTTGAACTGTTACAAATTAAAAAAAAGACACAAGGCCGCTACCTAATAATTCATTGCCAAATTAATACGGTCTTATACACATTGGTGGGCATATATAGCCAAAACTCTAATCAGCGTAACTTCTTACACAAAGTGCTAAACAAACTCCCCCAACAAAACATTACCTCTCTAATAATCTGTGGAGATCTGAATCTAACCCTATAACCGCATATGGACACAACGGTATCCCCTTCCACTCCCTGGTTCAAATCACTAATACCACAGTGTAAAGCCATCACAAAACTACTGCTAGACCATGGTCTTTATGATATATGGTGCACTAAGCCCCCCAATGAGAAAAGGGTCCATAAAACCCACTCTAGAATAGATGTCCCCAGGGTCCATAAAACCCACTCTAGGATAGATGTCATACTGATATCCCGAGATTTGCTCCCATTAGTTGAACAATTCCAACTGGAGGACATAGTATGGTCGGACCACGCCCCTGTGTTCATTACGACCCATGACACCTACAGACATAGGGGAAAAGCCCCATGGCGACTAAATAACATGCTCTTATGCAATAGTGACTTTAAACTTAGATTAGAGAAAGAGATAAACAATTATTTTCAATTAAATGAACAACCTGAACTCGCACCTACCCCCACTTGGCAGGCCCACAAAGCGGGCAACTCATCAAAGGGGGCAACTCATCAGTAGAGCATCCTATGTTAAACGTAACACCCAGAAACTATACCTTACACTACTGACAAAACTATGTGACCTCACCACGACCCAATTTCTGCATCTTAACCCACTTTTAAACACAGAAATCACGAAACAGCTTAATGACCTTCTACTCCAACAGACGGCACAACACCTCCAAACACTAAAACTAAGGCACTACACACAAGGAAATAGAGCTAGCAAAACATTGGCGTTGCTATTGAGACACCAACAGGCCCAATCAAAGATCCCATACTTAATTAACAACACCGGAGAGAAAATGTATAATCCCTTAGACATAAACGCAGAAATAGCAGCTTAGTACAAAAATCTCTACAACTTAAAAGATGACCCACAAACACATCAACCAACACATGATGAAATCCACCACAATGAAAAACACCAACCCAAGCACAAAAAAAGCTATTTACAGAGCCAATCTCACTGACAGAATTGCAACAAATGATACGCTCACTTCCCCCCAGGAGCTATAACACCAGAGATGCTACTAGCGCATATAGCCATGCTGCCAAAACCAGGAAAACCACCTAACCAACCAAAAATCTTATGACCCATCTCGTTGTTAAACACAGATACAAAAATCTTTGCTAAAATTTATGCAAACCGAGCAGCAGATCTCATTCCTTCCATGATACACCCAGACCAGGTGGAATTTGTGAGGGGGAGACAGGGAGCAGATGGGACAAGAAAACTATATAGCCTCCCTTATGGTCGGGCGCCTTCCGGAGGGTCCAGGGTCTTCATGTCCCTGGATGCAGAGTAGGTGTTTGACAGATTGCACTGGATCTTCCTTAGGGAGGTACTAAAAGAATTTGGATTCCCCCAAACCTTCCTGACTCTGATAGCAGCCCTTTACTCCACACCGTTAGCACAGGTCGCGAATGGGGGGGTTTGTCTCCAACCCGTTCCGTATTACGAATGGCATGAGACAAGGTTGCCCACTGTCTTCAGTTCTCTACATCCTTGCACTAGAACCATTAGCACAGGCCATAAGAGATAACAATTTGATCACAGGGGTGACACTCAAAACAAAAATGCACAAAATCACCATGTTCGCCTACACATCTGTATTCGGCATTACAACAGACACACGCATACGACTGGAGACATGACAATATGACTTTTCTAGACATAAAATTCACAAACCTATATCGGGAGAATTATGGCAAAACCCTCATCTCCATAAAACAACTGTTGAGTTGGAAAGGAAAATATCTTGGATGGGGAAGATCGCAGCGGTAAAAATGAAAATACTCCAGAGATTGCAATATTTATTCTGCACCCTACAAATCAGGCTCCCAAAACAATTCTTCCAAGAGACCCAACAAATTGTGAATACATTCATTTGGTCTCCTAAAAAATCTTGCACAGCAGAGAAGATCATGTATCTACCATATAAACAGGGGGGCATGGTTCTGCCAAACATCCTCACTTACTACAGATTGGCTATGATTGGACCACTGATCACAGAACTAAACCAACACAACACACCGTCCCCATGGATAAATATAGAAGCAGAATATATTTTATATAATTTGCACACAGACAGATAAACTCCTGGTTACACAAGAATAAGAACATACTACCGACTGAGGAAGGATGGGAGGATACAAAAGCAAAAACCACAGAAACTCATCTCTATATTGTATTATCAGCATTATCAATTACAAGATCCACACAAATTTCCATTTGTACGGGCATGGGAATCCGAAATAGGCAGACAAATGACGAAGGAACAGTGGACACAAATATTATACGCAAACAAAAAACTCACACTAGATACAACACACCTGGTGTTGGCAAGGAAAATATTATACCATTAGTATCTAGTGCCAACACGCATGAAACACATGACACCTACACAATCCGGACTGTGTTGGAGATGTAATTCCTCTCCAGGCAATGTGCTACACATATGGTGGGCATGTCCCGCTTTGACAAGACAGACATGCACAATCTGATAAAGGATGCAACGGGAGTCACCCTAACACAAACCCCCGAGAACTACCTCCTACATTACATGCCAAATGACCTCACAAAGTCTGTACGATACTTAATCTATCACATTATATCTGCTATACTTTTAAACATAAGTAGACATTGGTTAAAACAGACGATTCCGCACATTAATGCATGTATCTCACAAACTGACAGCACCAAAGGGTACGAGGTAATGGCCAGATCCAACAAACCTCCACAAAAATTTTGGAGGGAATCTTGGGACCAATGGGACAAATGCAGAACCACACAACAGCAGACTCCAAACCCTCCAGACCACACACAGGTTACATAGCAAGAGATTAAATCACTATATCCCTCCGTGTATATAGTCTCTAGTGCGATAATCCAGGGATTAAGCTTGTGAGACATTTTGGCCAAATGAGTTGGCCGGAGATATTGGTTAAAAATCAGGGACATTTCCCCTCCCTCCCCCTCCCTATCCTGGTTATTACTCCCGGTTAAACCACCAAGTTCTTCAACCCACCCCAGGTATACCATCTAATGTGAAAGGAATGCAGGTTGCTTCTCAACATACAAGGGCACTGACATGGAGATAGCCAGTACTGAGGTACACTGATGATATGCATATCTAACATCAGTACGAGAAGCCTGGGGAGAACACAATGGTTCCTTATAATAGAGAAAAATCTTATTACTAAGCAAAATCCAACTGACTTTTTACCCTTTTCTGTTAACAAATGTGGATAAGAGATGATATAATTACTGGAATATGTCAAGATATGATGTACCTCTTTAAAAACAATGTGCCTAGCAGATCGTATATTGATTGTAGTTAATGATATACTACTGAGCTGTAACCTTTAAGCCTTGGAACATTTCCAAAAAAATATAAATTAAAAAAGAAATTAACTCAACATGTTAGTTTGAATGCCTCCTCAGATGAGACACGTTAGACACTGTCATGTTTACAAATTGTAAGTAACTCAAAATAAAATAAAGTAAAAGTAACAAAGTAACTGAGTCAAAAAAAATTGAGGTAAGAATGAGGAAAGGGAAAGGATAAGGGGGGATGATGGGACTCCATTTCTGTTGAAGATACCCTATGATCACATGTTGCAGCTTTCTTTGTAGCTGAGCCAATAGTCCCTCACCTTATGGAAGTTAACTTATCTATTAGGAAGTTTTCCTAAATTTTAGTAATGACATCCTGTATTGAGGGGATAGTATCCCTTAACCTTTTAGCTACTATCACCCAGCAGGCTGATAGGTTAATTTTATCAAATTGCTTGAGTAATTCGAGAGACAGTCTACAGGGTGAAACAAGAGGTATGCCCAGGGCACACACAGGTATTTGTGTGAGTAATAGTATTGACATGATATAAAGTCATAGTGGTAGTATGGGTGAGTAGTTACAGTGCTACTGGTTATAGAACATGTATTCCTCAATTTGCAGTTGCCTGCTAATTTATATGGCATCACAAAATCTTTCACTAGAACCAGTAAAAATAAGCTCCTCCATATAGTCTTTATTGCCTCTGTAGTAGATATCAGAAATTTGGACTCCTCAGAGATACCCTTAAACTTGTCAGACTTCAAGGCAATTACCTTTATGAGTTACGAATGCCTGGTTGTTACCCACCCTGTGCATCTGCCTCAGGTTTAACCTTTTTTAAAAACTTTTTTCTTTTCAGACAGATGAGCTAATTCATGCCTCTCTAGTTTTGTGCCAAAGGGAACAAAAGTAATTTTTCTTGCCAAGTGCCAGTGAGCAATTTTCCTAAATCAACATGAAAGTCAAGGTCTCTCTAGTTTTGTGTCAAAAGAGGCAAAAGCTATTTTTCTTTCCAAACGCCAGTGAGAAATGTCCCTAAATCAACATTACCAACATTATCAAACTAAATGTAATCATTATATATTTGAACAAAAATAAAACTTGGAAGTCTCGCAAATTATAATTTATATATAATTATCATAATTATTGTTAAATTCTTCCAGTGGGGTTCAGTACTCATACATACATACTTACATACATAAAGAAAAGACAATTCACAGGGAAGAATAAAAATACTTGCAAAATATATATAATGCACCTGTATCGTAGGAGAGGAATGCAGGTTCTGTCTCTGCAGGAAACACTATTAGCTGGATAGCCAGATTTCAAGATGAAAAAATAAACTTATCAAAAAAATAACGTTATATAACTTTTGTTCAAACAAAGTATACATGTGCTTACGACATAAACTGGGCAGCAGAAAGACCACCACTGCTGCCCTTCATTAGAGACTTCATCATTGATAAAGTGATGGTAGTCATGAAACATATCAGTGGTAGTCTTTCTGCTCCCACCTGTATATCCTAGCCACAAATCTACTCTATTTGAATAAAGGTAATGTATCCTTATTTTTGGATTGAGAAATTTTCTCTTATTTCCTTTGGAGGAGATCTAACAAAAAAGCTCATATCATATATACATGTACAAAATACACAAAAGAAAAAATAATAGGGCAATATGTAACGTACAAGGCTTATATGTACACTTTGACATGACTAACAATAATACAATGATAACTCATGGAAATAAATAGGCACTTCAATCACTTACAAGAGATAGTGCCTAGACTTGGTTCTATATGCAGCATTGAGTATATATGGCTCCTGGGGGATATACTGTAGGACAACGGTTGTAGTAGGGGGAGAAGCTAGAGACTGTAGTGTGGGGAATTTGTCCTGCAATTGGGTGGAGAGGGGCTGTAGTAAGGACATATGGGCTGTAGTGGGGTTATGGGCCACATGTAAAAGAGAGGTTAGGGGATGCAGTAGGGGCTAAGGGTTGCAAGTGGGGGATAGAGGCTGTAGTGGGTGGAATAGGGGCTGTAGTAGTTGGAAATGAGCTGAAGATGGCTATAGTGGGGGGATATGTGCTGTAGTGGGGGATAGGGGCTACATTTGGAGGGTAAAGACTACATAGGGCATAGGAGCTACATTTAGGGGTAGGGTGAATGTAGGACTGTAGTAGGGGGGTTGGAGACTGTAGATGGGATAGGGGCTGCATTGGAGGAATAGGGTTATAAGGGGGATAGGGCCTGCTATTTGGGTAAAATTGTTATAATAGGGTGTTTAAGGGATGTAGCAAGGGGGCTAGGGAGTGTCCCTCTGTAGTAGTGATAAAGGAGCTGTAGTAGGGGGTTGGGGTTGTAGTAGAGGGGTTATGGGCCACAGTAAGGAGTAAGAGGCTCTAGTGGGGGTTAAGGGTTGTAGTGGGGGTTATGACTGTAATAGGGGTTAGGGACTGTAGGGTATTAGTGGCTGTAGGAAGGGGTAAGGGGGTTAACAACTGTATAAGGGTGTTAGGGCTGTAGTAGGTAGTAGTGGGAGTTAGGGTCATAGTTAGGAGTAAGGGGCTACAGGTGATACGGGCTAAAGAAAAAAAACACTAGTATATTCCCTTCTCCCTGGGGTTTACCTTGGGTCAGGGAAGGGAGAATCCTGTTACAAGCTGGTCTGGTAGTAGCCTGGAGCTGAGGCAAAGTGGGCTGAGCCTAGTGCAAAGGGCAGAGCCTACACACCCACAGAGCGCCTGGGCGCTGTGCACCCTGTGCACCCTCCTAAGTTTGGCCCTGAAAGAAGGTTTACTAAATAATAGGAACACACTGGTTAGCCTTCACTCCCCACATGCATTGATAGGCATCCATCACCCTGAAGACGGTTCACCGGTTGTCTTTCCTTGCACCACTTTTAGTAGTTACTAACTGCATACTTGGAACACTCACAATAGTTGCCATTTTGGAGATTTTCTGACCCAATTGTCGAGTCATCACTATTTGGACCTTGTCAAAGTCACTCAGATCTTTTTGCCTGGAGATGCTCTGACTGTTCACTTGCTGCCTAATATATCCTACCCCTTGACATGTATCATTGTAATGATATAATCAATCTTATTCACTTCAAAAGTCAATGGTTTTAATGTTGTGGCTGTTCAGTGTATATATGCATACTGATCCTCATTATTAGAATATCACAATATTTATGATAAGCATAGTATATTTATTCTAATTTGAGCAAACACGCAACAAACAGCTCCCTCCCCCACACATGTACATTCCTAAACACAGATGCAAATAATTCACACAGGTATACATTACAGACACGATTACTCATTTTGCTGAAAAACTTAATGCTGGCCATGATAGAAAGGTTTCAGAACACACAGTACATCACAGTTTGTTGTGTATGGTGCTGAATAGCCAGAGACCAGTCAGAGGGCCTCTAATGACCCCTGTCCACTGCCAAAAGCACCTTCAATGGGTATGTGTCAGACCTGGACCATGGGTCAATGGAAAAGGTCAGCTTGTCTGATGACTCATATTTTCTTTTAGATCAGACTGCCTAGTTTCATGTGCATCACGTATCTGGGGAAAAACATGTTTTGCTGGAAAACATTTAGTCCTGGCATTCATGTGGACATTACTTTGACACATACCACCTACCTAGAGATTGTTTCAGACCACATACACCACTTCTTGGCAATAATGTTCCCTGATGGCAGGATAATGTTCCCTGTCACAATGCAAACATTGCTCAGGAATGGTTTGAGGAACATGACAAAGAGTTTAAGGTGTTGTCTTGGCCTCCAAATGCCCCAGATCTCAATCCAATTGAACAGCAGTGGGATGTGCTGGAACAACAAATCTGATTCAGGGAGGTCTCAACTCGCAACTTGCAAGACTTAAAGGGACACAATAGTCAATAAAACAACTGTAGCTTACTGAAGCAGGTTTTGCAGATTCTGTGTATAGATCATGCCTGTGAGGTTTCACTGCTCAATTCTCTGCCATTTAGGAGTTAAATCACGTTTGCTCCTATTTATGCAGCTCTTGTAACACCTCCACTGGCTGTGACTGACACTGCCTGCATGGAAACAAGACACTACCTGCATGAATACATTCAATCAGATGTAACTTACAATAAAGGTTTTTTTGTAAATATCTCTTTATTGAGAATTTTTTTTTCAAAGTTTCAACAAAAATGCAGATTGTAAGGATGAGGAAACATGCAGGTGATAACATGTGGTAAAAAGAGATACGCAAATCTCCACACGAACAAGGAGAGCTGAGACACGCAGGTCTCACATGGAGAGTAGGTTCACAGCATATAGGTAGGTAGAAGGGAGTTCCTGCATTATATTAGGCAGAGAGTTTTAGTGTTTTGACTGATCGGTGTATATTAGCATGTAGAAAAATTTAGTTGTGATTTTTAATTGTACAATTTTTTTGCTTTGTGTTCAATTCAATAAAAATCTTTTAAAAAACTAAACAAACAAAAAAACTAAACCAACCCTGTTAGTATGCATGTAAATGAATGGGTTAAATATAAGTTATCACAAAAAAAAAAAAGGCAGGATCCTATGATTTGCAGATTATTTCACAAAATGTATTTGGTACCAGAAATTGCATGTTTTGTCCCTATAAAAATCAGTTTTAGTTTTTTTTTTTTTGGTTTGTGTATTTTTAACTACATGTGTGTTAAATTAACTAAATTTAAAATTAAATTTTCCTCCTATAGATTTTTCTATTCATTTTTATCTATTGTATTTCTGCATTCAGCTATCCAAAATCTATGGCCCAGTGTTCAGCATACAGCTAGGCAGCAAAAGAACGGTGATCTTGGCTGGTTATGAAACTGTGAGAGACGCCCTTGTGAACCATGCTGACGAGTTTAGTGGGAGAGCATTGGCACCAATGTTTCAAAAGATGGACCATGGAAATGGTAAGTTTAGATTATGTTGTGCAGTATTTGCCATATTATCATAAAGATACATCTAAACGTTGGATATTCTAGTTACTGGGTTTGACATTGTATGAATCAATTGGCATTCATTCTTAAATTGCATTGCAATTATGCACATTATGATTCTAATATGTTATTGTCATTAATATTGCTATTATTATTATTATTATTATTATTATTATTATTATGTTGCATTTGTAAAATGTAGTCCAATTCAGTAATCAAACTGGTTCCTCACACATGTGATGGAAAGAACCCTATTAAATGTCTGGTTTTCATGGCCTTACTTATAGGGGGACATTTATCAAAGTGTTCTAAAAATTTGTCTGAAGTACTAAAGCCAGGCAATTACCATGGAAACTAGAGAAAACAGTCGGCACATTCTATTAGTGACTCTTCCTCTTTTTATTTTTGCACACTTTTTAGTACAGATCAGTTTTTATTTTATTTGGTAAAAAGTTCGAATTTGGGACTTGAACTTGACCCAAGGTTGACCCCGAACCCCATTGAAGTCAACGGGGACACGAACTTTTGGGCACTAAAATGGCTATAAAAAAGTCCTGGAAAGGGCTAGAGGGCTGCAAAAGGAATTAAAATGGGGGTATGAGTAGGACAAGTAACCTGCAAACAAATGTGGATAGGGAAATAACTTAAAATAACATAAAATACATAAAAATTACAAGTATTAATCTTGAACTAGGAGGAGGTGGTGGATGTGAAGTAGGAGGTTGAGGAGGTGGTGACCGTGGCGGTGTAGGTGGAATCGGCGGTGGAGGAGGAGGAGGTAGTCAACACTGTTGTATTAAAAAAAAATGTTTAATTGGGGTAGCCCGGAAAATATTGGGACATATAAAAAAAGAAAACAAAGAATAAGTGCACTTGAGTATAACAATGGCTTGGGGAGCCCGGTATAAATGTCTATTCTGCACAAGGTACAGACAAGTCTGGGATCCATGCCTGGTTCATTTTAATAAAAGTGAGCTTGTCCACGTTGGCTGTGGACAGGTGGCTGCGCTTGTCTGTGATAACGCCCCCTGCCATGCTAAACACACGTTCAGACAATACACTGGCTGCAGGGCAGGCCAGCACCTCCAAGGCATAAAGGGCAAGCTCATGCCATGTGCCCAATTTGGAGACCCAGAAGTTGAATGGGGCAGACCCATCAGTCAGTACGTGTAGACATGTGCACACGTACTGTTCCACCATGTTGCTGAAATGCTGCCTCCTGCTAAGACGTCCCATATCAGATGGTGGTACTGGTTGTTGTGGCATGCTGTGAAAGCATTTCCACATTTCGACCATGCTAATCCTGCCTTCTGAGGTGCTGGCGGTGCCCCAGCTGCGTTGGCGACCTCTTCCTCCTTCTCTGCCTTTGCCTTGTGCTTCCACTGAGCCCCCGGTGTCAGTTGGGAATACCCTCAGCAGCACGTCTATTAGCGTGAGCTTGTAGTCGCGCATCTTCTGATCATGCTCCAGTGAGGAAATTAAGGACGGCATGTTGTCCTTGTAATGGGGATCAAGCAGGGTGGCCACCCAGTAATCAGAACAAGTTAGAATGTGGGCAACTCGGCAGTCGTTGCGTAGGCACTGCAGCATGTAGTCACTGATGTGTGCCAGGCTGCCCAAAGGCAAGGACAAGCTGTCCTCTGTGGGAGGTGTATCGTCTGTGTCCTCCGTATCCCCCCAGGCACGCTCCATTGATGCCCACGAGCTGCAATGGGTGCCACCCTGCTGTGTGGGTGCCACCCTCCTTCTCCTCCTCCTCCTCCTCCTCACCATCCTCCTCCTCATCCTCCAGAACTGTGCCCTGGCTGGACAATTGTGTACCTGGCCTATGCTGGTGCAGGAACCCACCCTCCAAGCCACTTGTGAATGACTGGCCTGATATCCGTGGAAATGACCTCCTCTTCCTCCTGTGCCACATCCTCTTCCATCATCGCCCGCAGCGTTTTTTAGAAGCGTGATAGTAACGCTGTGAATGGCGTCATCAGCACTGGCCGCGTTGGTGGAGTACTCGAAACAGTGCAAAATGGCACACAGGTCTCGCATGGAGGCCCACTCATTCATGGTGAAGTGGTGCTGTTCCGCAGAGCAACTGACCCGTGCGTGCTGCATCTGAAACTCCACTATCACCTGCTGCTGCTCGCACAGTCTCTGTAGCATGTGCAAGGTGGAGTTACACCTTGTGGGCATGTTGCATATGAGGCAGTGAGCGGGAAGGCCGAAGTTACGCTGCAGCTCTGATATATCTGTGTAGTTTTTCAGGAATTTCTGCACCACCAAATTCAGCACATGCACCAGGCAAGGGATGTGCATCAAACCGGCTAGGCCCAGAGCTGCCACGAGATTTCGCCCATTATCTTGAGGCTTGAGGCTCAGTGGCAACAACCACTCATCGGTCTATTGTTCCCTGCCCGTCCACTGCTCCTGCGTATAATATATGAGTTTTAAAACAGCCTGCTGCTGTTTCCCCCTGGCTGTGCTGAAGTTGGTGGTGAAGGTGATACGCTGACCGGATGAGTAGGTGATAAAGGAGGAGGAAGCAGAGTTGGAGGAGGAGGCAACAGGAGGCAAAGACAAATGCCCTGCAATCCTTGGTGGTGGAAGGACATGCGCCAAACTGCTATCCTTCTTAGGCCCAGCCGCCACTACATTTGCCCAGCGTGCAGCTAGGGAGATATAGCGTCCCTGCCTGTGCTTACTGGTCCATGTATCAGTGTTTATGTGGACCTTGCCACAGATGGCGTTGTTTGAACAGGGAAGGGATGGCTCGGAACCACGTACTGTGGGACAGCCACCGCCATCAGGTTTTTAAAACTGTCTGTCTCCAACAGACAGAATGACAGCATTTCAAAGGCCACAAATTTTGAAATGCTGGCAGTCAGGGCCAGAGATCACGGGTGAGTAAGGGGGGTACTTCCTCTTTCTCTCCAGTGTTTGGGAGATGGACAGCTGAACGCTTCCATTGGACAGTGTGGAGATGCTTGGGGACGGTGGCGGACGTGGAGTAAGCACCTCAAAAACCAAGAAAGGTCTTAAGCTCCTCCTGCTTCCTCTTCTGCTGCTGTCTCGGCAAACAGAGGATGTGGCAGGTGCCACTGTCACTCCAGAGGTGGAGGAAGAGGCCGAGACAGCAGCAGAAGAGGAAGCAGGAGGAGCCTGAGACCTTTTTTGGTTTTTGAGGTGCTTACCCAACTGCAGCTCATGCTTTGCATGTAGATGCCTGGTCATGCAGGTTGTGCTCAGATTTAGAATGTTTATACCTCACTTCAGGCTCTGATTGCACAGCGTGCAAACCACTCGTATCTTGTCATCAGCACATTGTCTGAAGAACTGCCACGCCAGGGAACTCCTTGGAGCTGGCTTTGGTGAAAAATTGAAAAGAGAATCCTTGTAATATGTTTAAGTCAGAATTGTACATTATATTATCAGAAGCTTTGAAACAAAAAATAATCACAAAAATGGAGTTTGAATATCTTTATATCGAATTCCCAAAATTGGCTATTTTCTATCAATTACCTAAAATCCATAAAAGTTTAGAAGATCCACCCGGGAGACCAATTATCAGTGGGATAGGCTCTCTCACCAGTAACATCTCGGAATATGTAATATTAGCAGCCTCTTATGTAAAAGATTAAACTCAAATTATTAGAGAACTGGAAGGAATAGAATGGAAGGAAGATTATATATGGGTCACAATAGACGTTACCTCACTGTACACGGTCATTGATCATATGAAAGGGATAGCCGCTGTAAAAGAAGCGTTAGATAAAGATGGAGAGATGTCTAAAAAACAGAGTGATTTTATCCTACAATGCATTGATTTCATTTTGCACAAGAACTCATTTTGGTTTGAAGGAACCCATTATCTTCAGATCTGTGGTACCACCATGGGCACCAGGTTTGCCCCAAGCTACGCTAATATCTTTGTAGCAAATTGGGAAGATCAGTGTATTTGGAATAATAACCTGTTTGGGACAAACCTGGTGCTATGGAGAAGGTATATAGACGATGTCCTTATTATTTGGAAGGGGGATCTACAGTTGTTCAATAGCTTTATGTCTTATGTTAATTCTAATGACTATGGCTTGAAGTTTACCCAGGAATTGGGAGATAGGGAAATCAACTTCTTAGATCTGACCTTTTTTGTAGAGAGAAATTTAATTTGCAGTAAAACTTTTTTTAAACCCACAGATTGTAATAGTCTTATAGAATTCACGAGTTGTCACAACCCGATATGGTTGAAAAATATCCCTAAGAGTCAACAAACTAGGTTGTACAAAAATTGCACAAACCAAATGGACTTTGACAACCAGATTAAAATTCTTAATAAAAGGTTCCTGGATACAAGCTATCCGAAAGATCTACGTGAAAAAAGCCAGAAAGAAGTTATAAGTAAGAAAAGAGAAGAATTTTTGCAGATAAAATAGAGATCTACTAGGTTAGAGACAAACTCATTTGATATGGCATTTATTACGAAGTATAATAACAAAGCGACCAAAATGGATAAAATCCTTAAAAAACATTGGCCGATTTTACTACAGGATAGTCATTTGTATAAGGTATTATCGAAGAAGCCAAAAATTGTATATAAGAAAACTGATAGTTTGAAAACAATTTTAGCACCTAGTATTCTTCCGAAAGTAAGTTTGAATAAGAAACCAGAAACTTTTTTGGGGAAGAGACCTAATGGTTTTCACAAATGTGGAAACTGTAGCACTTGTAAGTTCCAAAAACAAACCACCACTAATTTTAAGAGTACAGCCATGGGTGAAGAGTTTATGATAAAACATTTTATAACATGTAGTAGTAAGAATGTGATATATCTTTTACAATGTATATGTGGAATACAGTACATAGGTCGTACTATTCGCATATTACATGAGAGACTAATTGAACATTTTTATGGTATAAAAAAGAAAAGTGAAAAACATAGTGTGCCTCAATATTGTGATAGCTGCTCTGCCTTTACTTTTAACAATTTTGTTTGCATAGGCATCGATTTAGTTGCTCCACATTGGCGAGGTGGTGACACCACTAAGACCTTAGCAAGAAGAAAAACAGAATGGATCTATAAAATGAAAACTTCCACTCCTCGAGGCTTAAATACTGATCTTGATATCTTGGCTTTCCTGTAAAGGGATAGTAATTTTATTTTAATTCATTGCATTTTTTTAGGCATTTTTTTATTCATTTATTATATTTATTTTCTTTTTTATTTTTCATTTTTATTTTTATATATTTTTTTATATATGGAAGCTTTTGATACAGAATTGGAACTGAGAAATGCATATTGAATATTGATAATTGACTAATTTGAGAATTTGAGAGTGCTTTTGACTTACAATTTTACCTGAGACTAATAATATTATAACTTTGTTTTCATAGTAAAGAACATGGTGTCTATTGTGGATAAAGATAGAGATAACTGTGTCCCAAATGTAATTGTGGATAAAGATAGAGATATATTGTATCCCCAATGTAATTTTTATATTAATTTTTTATATTAACTTTTATATTGATTTCTATATTAATGTGTGTATATATATATTTTGTTCTGTCGTTTTTTTATCTTTGTTTTTATTAAGAGTATTTTATATGGAACACTGTAATAATGTTGCTATTATACTAAAGAATATGGTCAATTGCCTTAAATAAAGGATAGGGGTATATGGAATTAAGTATTTAGATTGTAAAGATCACCACAAAAAACTATATATGCAACATTTTTTGGTTCCTGTTATATCCTTTTGAGTTTTTTTTAGTTTTTTTAGTTTTTTATAGTTTTTTAATAGTATTATGTATAGTTTAAAATTTAAGATCGAGAATTAATGAACTATTGGGTTCTATGCTTTTTTTCAACTCTCCTCTTACATATTTGTTATTTTGTGGTGAATGCTAAGGTTGGTTTATAATAATGGGCATAGTGTTACGAGTCTTCTGTCACTTGTAGCAGTTTCAGTGCTACATTGTGACTAAACTCGGATGCCAATAAAGTATCACGCAGCCTCATCCTGCCGCGCATGCGTGCCAAATATCTCCCGAAAGCTACTGGTCCACGAGAGTACCCGTAGCTTGAAGGAGATTGATATCGGTGTGCGCATGCGCGAAGGAAGTTTTAGAGCGCGAAGATTAAAGAAATGGAGTATATAAGAAGAAAGAACGGCGGCGAGAGAATCACAGCATCCACAGCTCCTGAGGAAGTCCCAAAAAACGCGGGACGAAACGCGTTGAGCCTGAGCAACCAGATCTACCGATCGAGCAGTCCAGAGACTGTATTTAAGATCTATATTAGCTGCAAGTAGTTATTTAGACTCAGGATTCGCGACCTAGGTCTATACATTCAATCTATTCTGCTTGTTAGCATAGCAGTGTTTCGATAGGGTTTTTCCCCAGGTCTCAAAATTGTACTGCTGTATAGTGGTTTTTGTAATATTAGTATTTCACTTTTTTACTGCAATATGTGCAGAATAATAAAATTGTTTATTTTTTAATGCTATCATTGCAACTGATTACTTGCCTGTATAGTCTAGCGCCCTCTTATAGGTGGGTTTATTCCCATCTTCTATTCGTTTAGCTTGTTTTATAGGTTTTTGGAGTGTTCCTATAGAGTGGCAGCTTTTCTACTATAGATTAGATCTATAGTATCTGGCATCTGGATCTATTGCTCTATTTGGTTTTGTGGCTTTGGTCTGCTCGGTCCCTGGGTGCGGTGGGCAGTAGCAGGCGTACTGTCTATGGGACGGCAGCTCCGCTTCTGCACCCTGCTCCCTCTTATGCTGTGCGACCACCGCCTCTTCCTCTAAACTGCACACATCACTCGCATGACCTTGATTCCATGGGGTGTCTAGGACCTCATCATCCTCCACATCATCTTCCACCCACTCCTCAACCCTGCCCTCCTTGCCGGTCTGCACACTGCAGAAAGCCACAGCAGTTGGCACCTGTGTTTTGTCATCATCAGAGATGTGCTGTGGTGGTCCTCTCATGTCCACATCCTGAAACATAAGTGGTTGTGCATCAGTGCACTCAATCTCTCCCACTTCTGGGGCAGGGCTAGGTGGATGGCCCACGAATCCCCACCAGCAGAGTCATCAAAAAGCATAAGAGACTGCTGCATGACTTGTGGCTCAGACTGCCTGGCTAATTTGCAAGGGGGTAAGGTGAAAGACAGATGGCCATGGGCTGCAGGTGGGAGACAATGTGAAGGAACTGGAGGCACTGTCAGCCACCCAATCTACTATCGCCTGTACTTGTTCTGGCCTCACCATTCATAGAGCGGCATTTGGGCCTACCAAATAATGCTGAAGTTTCTGTAGCCTACTCGTACCTGAGGAAGGTGTTTCACTTATGCGTGTAGCTGGCACAGATCGACCACATACTCTCCCTGCAACTGAAGCTCCACCAACACCAGCAGCACCACGACCAGGGCCATGTCCCTTATTTGACGCTCTCCTAATTCTTTGTGTTCACCCACTAAACTAACAGATGGTTTATGTCAGTCGACAGTGTCATCGCTAATAGTCAACAATTAAGTTCACTGACAGTAAGGCAGTGCTGGTGTCCTAAAGAGAAAAATTTATAGAATTTTTTTTCTAGAGGTCACACAACAGTGTGACAGGCATAATTAATACAGTTACTTCACTGTCTCACAAAATGTGAATTTGTCAAACAACAATGTAACAGTAGTCAGGGCAGCCATCAGAAATTTTGGGGCCCCTGACAAAGCACAAGGTCTGGGCTCCCCTCCCCTTCTCTTTCCCCCCCCCACCCTCCGGGCCCGCCCACACCCTACCTAGTCCACTGACAATGATGTAGGACTGAATGTGGTGTGTATAGTGGAAGTGAATTAGAATGTGTGTAATGGATGTAGTGTTTGTGTGAATTAGATACTGTTTGTGCAGTGAATGCAGAGTGTGTGTTTGTGTAGCGGATGCAGTGTGTATAGTGAACGCAGAGTGTATTTGAGTAGTGGATGTAGTGTGTGTACAGTGATGTAGTGTGTGTTTGTGTAGTGGATGTGGTGTTTGTGTGTACTAGATTAAATGTGTTTAGTGGATGCAGTGTCTGTAGTGGATGTAGTGTGTGTATTAGATGCAGTGTCTGTGTATAGTGAATGCAGAGTGTTTCAATTTGTGGTGGATGTAGTGTGTGTACTGTGAATACAGGATGTTTGTGTAGTGGATGCTGTGTGTACAGTTAATGCAGAGTGTATGGTAGTGAATGCAGAGTGTGTGTCAGTATAGTGAATCCAGAGTGTGTGCATAGTTTAGTGAATGCAGAGTGTGTGTTAGTGTGTAATGAATGCAGAGTGTGTGTGAATGTGTAGTGAATGCAGTGTTAATGTGTAGGGAATGCAGAGAGTGTGTTAGTATGTAGCGGATGCAGAGTGTGTGTTAGTGTAGTGGATGCAGAGTGTGTGTTGTGTTAGCAGATGCAGAGTGTTTGTTGTGTTAGTGTATGCAGTGTGTGTGTGTTAGTGTATGCAGTGTGGGTTGTGTTAGGTTAGTGTATGCAGTGTGTGTGTTTTGTTAGTGTATGCAGTGTGTGTGTGTTAGTGTATGCAGTGTGTGTTTTGTTAGTGTATGCAGTGTGTGTGTGTTAGTGTATGCAGTGTGTTGTGTTAGTGTATGCAGTGTGTGTGTGTTAGTGTATGCAGTGTGTGTTGTGTAAATGTGCAATCGGGGGGGGGGGAGGAAGGGGCATTTTTACATTATTTTTTTTATTAAATGAAATGATATTCCCCCCTCAATGCTTACCTGTGTCCAGGGAGGGGGGAGATTCCATTCCTGGTAGTCCGGTGGGGGGGGCCCACGGCTCCCTGTTACCGCAGAGGGGGCCCAGGCAGCACACAGCTTCTCCTCTCTTCTAATAACTCTCGCGAGACCCGGTTACCATGGCAACGCTCTGCGGGTCTCGCAAGAGTTATTAGAAGAGAGAAGAGAGGAGAAGCTGTGTGCTGCCTGGGCCCCCTCTGCGGTAACAGGGAGCCGGGGACCCACGGCTGCACACATAGATAGCGATATTCGCTATCTGTGTGTGCAGAGAAAGAAAGTGAGACCCAGTACTGCCAGAGCAGTCTGGGCCCCCCAGGGCCGCCGGGCCTGTGACAACAGTCATGGTTGTCACCCCCTGATGGCGGCCCTGACAGTAGTATTTAACGGTTTTATTGGACTGCAAGAAATGCACCAAAGGCCACAAATGTACTATTTAGCACAAAAACTGTGATTTCTTAAACCAACAGTGTAATGGTAGTATTTAAGGGTTTTATTGGACTGCAAGGAATGCACCGCAGGCTGCAAATGTACTATTTAGCACCATAAAAATGTGAATTAGTCAAACTGCAATGTCACATCAGTATTTGACGGTTCTATTTGACTCTCAGATATGAAGTGCATGCCCCAAATTTATTTTTTAGCACCAAAAAAATGTGAATTAGTCAAACTGCAATGTCACAGCAGTATTTAAAAATGCCTAGATGTTGCCCACTGAGCTACCAGAACAAGATTAAAGTAATGTGCCTGGCACACATGCAGTTGCAAGTGCACTGCACTTGCACAAATGGTCCCTGACGCCCACCTAATAAACAGACTGATTGCTTATTTCTCTGTGGCACTGGGCTCAGGGCAGGGTACAAAAATGTAGTATAGCACCCACAAAAATAATAAGGGCACACGAGTCAAACGCTTGTTGATTGGATGCCCTGCAGCTTTTCAAAACGTGCCATTAAATACCCGAACACCAAACTCCAACCCGAACTGTTACTGAATTGTCTGGGTTCGGAGTCAAAAAATCGTAATGTTCAGTACGAACCCAAACTTTACAGTTCGGGTTCGCTCAATTCTAATTTTTATTAATCTCCAAAATAACTAAGGTTTGTATAGAGTTCTGTAGCCTAGGTCATTCATACACAGCACAAACAACTCCTAACCACACACACACACACACACACACACACTAAACTACACTACAAACAGCCCATTCCCACACAAAACAAAAAAAAAATAAATAAACTATCCACATAGACATATAAGCACTTCTATTTGCAGAACCACAAAACACACCACAGATATCTCTATCCACACAGACACACACTGTACCAAAAAATTAACACCATGCATACTACAAATATCTTTCCATTAAATATAAAACACCACAAGCAGCACCCTCCACAAAAACACTATAAACAGTCTACCTACATACACACAACATACTATGCCTGTCCTAATGTTGTCATCTGTCCTGCTAATTATAGAGACAAAATAGCCAAGCAGCCACAAATGCAGCATAAGCTTCCTGTTAGATGAGCTTGTACTAAGTACTAAGCAAACATAGTATATTTTCCACATGCACTCTTCAGCAGGGATCTGCACACCGACTGCCCTTGAGGGCTTACTCACAGTAGCTCCCCTCACAGTAGCTTGAGGGTTGGCAAAATGTTGAGGCAAAGGAAAAAGAAAATAGGGCTTTCTACATATCATTTATGACAAACCCCACTTTAGACATATTGGAAAGAATTATGAGGGCCATCCATATATTATCTTCTGACCACTTCATTGGTGTTGACTTTCCCCTGGGGCATGATGATTGTTCAACAATAGAGCAAATTCATAAATTATAGATTGTGCTAATGGAGTGGACCCTCTAATCTTAATTTTAGTAATGACAGGAGGCGAGTATATGCATAATCTTTCTTTACTTAACAACTGCAGCAGCACAGATCAATCAAAAGTTTTAACCTATCAGAATCAAGAAACATTTCTACATATGTCTCTGTGGTGCCTGCCTCTTCCTCTTTCTTTGAAGCGAAACTAGTAGAACAAGAACAAGAACAAAGTCAATAACATAGTGGATCCGTTAAACTTCAACAACAGATGGAAACAGCCAGTAATCCGTGGTAGCTCAGTATAGGTAGCCAATGTTCATACTGAAAAGAACAGAAATAAGTGAAAGGGAGGTTCAAGAAGAAACAAGGAAGGGAAATACTCGCCTCTTGTCATCACTGAAATTAAGATTATAGATACACTCCGTTAACATAATCTACAATTTTACCACATGACAGAAGGCTTCATATTTGCATTTTTAATGCTATGTAAGAAGAGCAAAGAAAGCATGAGAAGTGGGTCTGAAGTATAAAATCTGAAAAGTGTCTTTGCAAGACCAGTCCGCAGAACGCATGATATCCGACAAGGAGGCGCCCGACGAAAAGGCTTGCGTTGCAGCCGCTGCATATGGAATGCGCCCTGAATGACTGTTCGAAGCCCGCCAGAGACAAAAGCCATCTGACCCATCTAGCGAGGGTCGTGGATGAGACCGGTCCATGTGGGTGGATATAAGACAGGAGTAATTGTCCCGAGGAAGTACGACGGAGAGTTGCGGTAACTTCCACATAACGAAGAAGCATTTTGACCACGCAGAGTCGTGGAGTGAAGGAAAAAATGGGTAAAAAAACGAGGACGAATTTGTTTTCGCCCTTCTAGAAAACCAAAAAGGGATGTGGGCTGCCGATATTGCTGATCATGTAACGTTAGCCGAACGATAGGACTGGCCCGTCAAAAATAAAGAGGATAGGAAGTTCAGAACTAAAGGAACAGGGGCTGAAATGGGATCCAAGTCCCTCTCCAAACACCAGCGAGACCATCTGTTCCAGGCTGCCAGGTAGTACCGTCGAGTGCCTGGGGCCCATGAGTCCCACAGAAGATCCTTAGATCCCATCGATGTCCCAAGACCATCCAGGCCAACAAATGGAGTTGTTCTTGTAGGACGAGCAGATGTAACTCCCCTTGAGGGTTGGTTAGTAGGGATGAGAAGGTCGGGAGTCTCAGTGGGTAGTTGCACGATAGTTCCAATAGGTCCAGGAACCAGGCCTGACTTGGCCAGAGTGGTGTTATCACAAGGATGGTTGTCCCTTGATTCCGTATCTTGTGTAGGACCCTCACTTTCATGGAGAACAGAGGAAACGCATAGGCACCCTGGGTGCAGAAATGCGTCCGCTGATTCGCATTCCGGATCCGGGAGTCATCTGTAAAACCTGGGCAGTTGGTGATACGCCCTGGAAGCGAACAGGTCTATTTGTAGTGGACTCGTGTGTGATAACAGAGCCCGGAAGACTTCCACATTCAAATGCCAGTCACTGTTGTCCCTCCAGTGGCGGGAGTACCAGTCTGCTACGAGGTTGGATGTCCCTGGTAGTTATTCCGCTTTTTTAGCATGATGTTCCTGGCCAGGCAAAAGGTGTAAATGTCTTTGGTCATCTCCAAAAGTGCCCTAGATCGGGCCCCTCCCAGGCAATTAATATATTGCAATGCTGACAGGTTGTCCATGCGCAGTAGAATACAGCAATTCGACATGTGTTTGGCCAAGCTCCTGATGGCAAAGGAGCCTGCTACTAGTTACAAGCAGTTGATGTGTGTCTCTGACTCTTCGTGAAGCCATGGGCCCCCTGTGAAGGCATCTGCACAGTGTGCCCCCTAGCCCCACAGGCTGGAATCCGATTTTACCACAAAGTCTGGTGAGGGACCAAAGATGGCATTCCCATTCAAGGGTAGCATATGGACAAGCCACCACCTGAGTTCGGTGCATACTTCTGTGTTGAGTGGTATTACCTGATCGTATGAGTATCCTGCTTGCAGAAAGCATGCTTTGAGCCGTTGCATGGCTCTATAATGGAGAGGTCCCGGGTATATCGCCTTGATGGATGTGGAGAGCAGACCCACAACCTGTGCTAGGAGTCGAAGTGGGATGCGTTTCCTCCGTAGCATTTTCCTGATCTCTTTTCGGATGGAGGCAATCTTTGACAATGGTAGGCGCAGTAAGCACGTCATGGAGTCGATTTCGAATCCCAAGAACTGAACCTTCTGTGATGGCGTGAGGGCCGATTTTTCTCGATTTACAACAAACCCCAGTGATTCCAGAAACTCCACGATAAATCTCGTCTGAGATAGCAGTTATGAGGACGAACCGCAGAAGATCAGAATATCGTCTAGGTAAATTAGACACCGGACACCCATGGCGCACAGGTGCACCATGATGGGCTTCAGCAGTTTTGTAAAACACCAAGCTCAGTCCAAATGGCAGGCAGGTGAACTGGCATGCGGTGTCCCTCCAACGGAAACGCAGGAATCGTCTGCAGGAGGGTGCGATGGGAACTGACAGGTAAGCATCCTTGAGGTCCAAGAGTGAACCAATTGTCCTTCAGTAGAAGGTCGCGGAGTAGATGGCTACCCTCCATCTTGGAGTGGCAGTAGACCATGAACGAGTTCAACTGTCGAAAGGTTGATGACTGGTCTCAATTCGCCTGTCTTCTTTTGCACCAAGAAAATGTTGCTGAGAAACACCCTGTCTTTGGGGGCCAGCTGGACAGCGCCTTTCGAGAATAGAGCCCATATCTCTGCGTCTATGTGAAGTACCTGGGATTCGTAATGTGTGTGTACGTCTCGATTGGAGAGGGTTTCTATGATGAATCCCTGCAACATCTGCAATATCCATGCATCCGCCGAGATGTCCCTCCAGTTCTGGAAGAAAAGAGACTGTCTCCCTGTGTTTAGCATAGAACAAGGGGAATGTAAAGTAGGACTCACCTGAGGGAAAGTGACCACGTCCCCATCTGCGGGAGCCTCTAGTCCTGGGTGTGCCTCAATAGTTTGTGGACTGTCGGTAGTTGGAACTCAGGTAGAATGAGTTGGAAGATGCGTTGGACCTGGGTCCCAAGGACCAGAAGCGGCTGGTGGCACGGCATCTCTGCCACTCAGCTCTTCAGAAAATACCACGTGAAGATTGATGACAGAAGACCTGTCGGAGGGACATCTGGGCCTTGTTGAGCATAGTGAAGAGGGATACATGTTTATTTAGTTCGAAGATGAAGGTGTCTCCAAACAAAAGGCCTTTTGGCAGCTGCCACTAGTTCCTTAATGGCCATGTTCAGGAGTTTGGCATCCAAGCGGACCAGTGCCCCTCTGCATCTTTCCGTGCATAGGGCCGCATTCGTGTTGCCTAGGAGGCATATGCTTTGTTGCGCCATTCACCGCACAGCATGGGGATCAAGTAGCGTGCCCTGGAACAGGGTTATGTCTGCAAAGTACAGTAGCTTTGCTAAGCGGCCCAGGATGTTGAGCAGCTTGTCCTGTGTGGGCTTCAGACCACGTTCAGCTCCTTTCCTGGGGTCCCATCCCATCCGGGACATGAAAATGACCACCGTCTGGTCAAATTCCGGAGTCAACTCCCACTGTGCATGTGAGCAGCGGGTGAAACACCCCGTAATCCCCACCACCCGGCTACCCCCCCACACAATGCCAAAACCAGCAGGAGGAGCAAGACCAGCACCCTACCCTCCCAAAACTTTCCCGCCGGTAGAGAGGCCAGGCACCACAGAGACATATGTAGAAACGTTTTTTGATTCTGATTGGTTAAAACTTTTGATTGATCTGTGATGCTGGAGTTGTTAAGTAAAGAAAGATTATGCAAATAGGAAAGCCTCCTGTCATGGAGTTGTTAAGTAAAGAAAGATTATGCAAATAGGAAAGCCTCCTGTCATGTGGTAAAATTTAAGGATATCACAGAAACTTTGAGCTGCTGCAATGCTATAAACAATAAACAAGATGAATGCCTTGCTGGAAAACAAGGAAGTTGTTCCTGGTGGCACACTCCGCTGATGTAGAAGCAGTAGTCTGGAAGCTGAAAGACCTACTTAAAACGTGTCTTCTCAAACAAGTTAGTAATTTTCTTGAACTGATTCTAGTTTTTATCCTCGGATTAAGGGGCACATGGCATACTGACTGCTGGCTGCCCTCAGCCAATGAATGCAACTCTGTGCTTAGAAAAATGCATAAGATTGACATTAGCCAGACCTGCAAAAAGCTGTGCCAGACCATTTTTCTAGGTTGGCTAATGACACCCCTATGATGCTGTCAGAGGTGAAATTACACCTCCAGCAGCAAAGGAGGCACATTTTGTGTGTGCAGCATTTCATAATGAAACACTGCACATACAGATTCCAGTTACCATGCCCACTTCAAATCACTGAAGGGATCATGGTGCTTGGAGTGACCCTTTAAGATACAATGCTGTATGCACCTGTTATTTTATTTAGGTAGGAGGAACACCTTGCTTCCTCTGTCAGAGTCTCAATTACAGATAAAGCACATATATTCAGGTTGACCAGATCCACCATGTTTTCAGAGACACATATAAATAATTTATTTTTTTACATTAGGAGATATATAGCACCAACATATTTCACAGAACTTTATAATGATAGAAAAAAAATGATATTTAGAAGTGAAGAATGCTCTACTCTAACAAGCTTACAATCCATGAAGTTTTGAGGCAGGCAGATATATCTAGTTAGGTGTTTTGCCCAAGGATATTTAGTGGTAAGGTCAACGTGCCATATGTTTAATAAAGTGGCAAGAGACTAGTGAGAATTATCAATATAAGTGTCAAAATAAGGAGTAGATTTAGTGTGGCAAGGTCAATTTGTGTTGTTTACAATGATACCACTCCTCGTTGAAGTCCCCTACTATACCTGTTGATGATCTTCATTCAGTGGTGTATCCTGGTTTTGTGCTGCCCTAGGCAGGACAAAGCTCAGGCACCCCCCACCCCCCACGCCACCCCCACCCAACAGTTCCCCCCGCCCCACCTTCTAAATACACACACACACAAACACACACACACAGTCAGATACAAACACAGTCAGATACAAACACAGTCAGACACAAACACACACACACAGTCAGACACAAACACACACACACACAGTCAGACACACACACACAGTCAGACACAAACACACAGTCAGTCAGACACACACAGACAGTCAGACACACACACAGTCAGACACACACACACACACACACACTTTTTTTATTTTAAATTTAACCCCCCCCCCCAGCCTCCTTACCTTTGGGAATGCTGGGGGGGTCTCTTTCTCCCTGGTGGTGCAGTGGCTGCCAGTCGGGCTGGGCGGGCCCGCACAGCAGCCAGCGCCGACACGCCCAGCCCAGCATTTGGGGCGCAGCGTTTTTTGCCGCTTCCTGAAAAATGCCACCCAAGACAAATGCCTTGTTTGCCTCGCGGCTAATACGTCCCTGTCTTCAATAGAGTGTAAAACTAGAATTTATAGATTAATTGGAGAGAGAAATTATGGTTTAAACATTAGCACAGACAATGTGAAGATTAAGGTTAGATATTAATTACTTTACAATTTTTAGACAGACATCTGTTTTTTTGTAAACTCAGTTCATTCCCAGGACACAACTACAGCAAAGACAAACAGTTAAAACCCTGCAATAACAAAATGATCTCATCACATAAAATTTAAATCTTCACATAAAAACTTTCATGCCTGATCTTGCACAGAAAATACTCAATAGTAGGTTGGTATTAAATCCAAAAAGCTATGCCAGATCATATGTCTTGTTTTTGCATGGATAATTATCTCTAAATGATCCCAGAAACTCAGGGTACAAGTGTTTACTCATTGTATGTCATCTGCCAAGTTCTACACCCAAGTGTTAACTCTTTGAGGACCAAGTGAACTGTGCTTAAAAGTTTAACAATGAGTCTCAGAGTTATTTTTTAGACTAAGGGTTAATATTTAATAATCCATCTAAACATTACAAATAATCTTTTCATTCAGCTTTTATTAAAGCAGTGAAAGCAGGTGAACAGGATTAGATGATTAGCTATATTATTTACAAGGCTTAATTTACACGCTTAAAACATTTTTTTTTTTTTTTAATCATACAATATTTGGTGTGTTTTTTGTGGACATAATAAAGAGTGCAAGATGTACATTTATGTTATGCATTGTGTAATATATTTATAGTATTATTTCCTTCAAATGAAACATTTAACCCCTTAAGGACTGAGCCAAATGTACACGTTGTAATCAAAACAAAACGTAAACCATAGCTTGAATTTGCGCTGTATGTCTGTTCAGGCGTAATTCGCCTCTTACATATTATGTGCACCCACACTTATTATATATCATTTTCTTCAGGGGAAAAAGGGCTTTTATTTAACATCAAATATTTAGGTATGAAACATAATTTAATATGAATAAAATATAAAAAATTGGGAGAAAATAAGAATAAAAAAAAATAATTAGTTCTACGTGACATTTTAACTGTGAATGCCATAATAATGTTTGTTTTACTGCAATAAAATACCCATATTTGTATTCAACAATGTCTCATGTGTAAAACAGTACACAACAGTACACAGTTTTGGGAAGTTACAGGGTCAAATATAGCATGTTACCGTTTTCAGTTTTTTCACATTGAAATTCGCCAGATTGGTTACGTTGCCTTTGAGACCTTATGGTAGCCCAGGAATGAGAATTACCCCCATGATGGCATTCCATTTGCAAAAGTAGACAACCCAAGGTATTGTAAATGGAGTATGTCCAGTCTTTTTTAGTAGCCACTTGGTCACAAACAATGGCCAGGAAAACATATACGTAGAATTATATACAGATGGGGTAAGTTCCATAATTAATATTTGGTATATATTGGTATATTTTATGCACTGTCATTATCTTGATAAAGACCCTGAAGGGTTGAAACGTTGATGTAGATTGATGAATATTTTTTTAATACACTATTGGCAAATCCAAGTGAGTGCTCTTGTTTATTGGACTGGAGGCACCCGGGTAGTTTATTTTTTATTTTTCACGTGGCGGTTGAGTGCCAGAGTCCGATATATATATATATATATATATATACGTGTGTGTGTGTGTATATATATATATAATTTTTTGTTTATTTTTATTTATATATATATGGATATATATTTATATAGTGATATATACATATATACTTATGTATTTATATATATATATATATATATTATTTTGTTCTACATGTATTTTGATAAAAAAAAATATATATATATATATTAATTTTAAAATACAGTTAGAACAATCTTACACATATAGATTTTTTATTTTATTATTTTTTTTACGTATTTTTACGTATTTGCATATTTTTATATATCATAATTAGTCCGTTGTGCTGCCATCTTCATCCACCGGAAAGAAGGTATATCCCCCTTTAGTGGGTAATAAGCTGTTTAAAACCCTAATTCTCAAATTGGCTCTATAGAAGGTGAGCACTATACCTTATGATATCTATTTATATCCATATTTTGGTCTAATATACTACACTAGATAGATATCTTCCCTTTGTTTCTTTCTGAGGGAAGGTGTCTCCTTCATTCAAATTCATGGCGTTTGAGATTTGAGCCAGTTCTACACTTGGCTCTACCCTTGTGAGTTGCATTTTTTCTACCTAAGGACCTGCACATCAGCCTTAGCATACTTCACTATTTTACTTTTATCTTTTTGTTTTATGTACTCAACTTCTCCTTGGGACATTTGATACCCCTGTTTTTAGGGGTAAGTACGCTTTAGTGCTCCACTCACTGAGTTTTCTGGGAGAGGACTGATTTTTATCACCCCCTACCTAACTCTCCAACCTACACTCTAAATGTTATATGTATGTATGATGGTTAGTAATGGTTAGTATTATTCCTCCTTTGTTTACTATTATCTAATAACAGCATCTATCGTTTAACACTACAGACTATTACTACATTGCTACTTTGATCTGATATTTACCATTTACCACTTTCAGGAATTATTTGGTCAAATGGGGAAAACTGGAAAGTGATGAGAAGATTTACCATCTCAACACTCCGTGATTTCGGAATGGGAAAGTCCAGCATAGAGGAGAAAATTACTGAAGAATGTAGTCACTTGATTCAGCATTTTGAATCATTTAAAGGTTTGTAAACATAAACATTTTAAAGTTTTAAAATATAAATATGTTTGCTATAATGATTTGAGATTTAGTTTTATCTCTTTTTATGTATATATTAATAGAAACATAGAATGTGACGGCAGATAAGAACCATTCGGCCCATCTAGTCTGCGCAATTTTCTAAATACTTCCATTAGTCCCTGGCTTATCTTATAGTTAGGATAGCCTTAGGAATATGCCAAGCATGCTTAAACTCCTTTACTGTGTTAACCTCTACTACTTCAGCTGGAAGGCTATTCCATGCATCCACTACCCTCTCAGTAAAGTAATTCTTCCTGAAATTATTTTTAAAACTTTGTCCCTCTAATTTAAGACTATGTCCTCTTGTTGTGGTAGTTTTTCTTCTTTTAAATATAGTCTCCTCCTTTACTGTGTTGATTCCCTTTATATATTTAAATGTTTCTATCATATCCCCCCTGTCTCGTCTTTCCTCCAAGCTATACATGTTAAGATCCTTTAACCTTTCCTGGTAAGTTTTATCCCGCAATATTTGTATTTATTTTTGTAGCAGAGAATTTTGAAATGACAAGATTTTGGGAGAACCTCTTTTTCTCAAGTATATCATATGAAATTAGTATAGTTTGAAGCATATATATGGAGAATTATATATATATATATATATATATATATATATGGAAGGCGTGGCCTGAAGTTGTGGGAAGGGCTGGGTTACCCTTCTTAAGGGACTCCAGACCCTTCCCTCACTACCTGTTAGGTGCGACGGATTCTCACGAAAGTCTTCGTCACTTCCGGTTTTCAGACAGCAGTTTCCGGCGGGCTCGCTCGCACGCGTCAGGTCGGGCAGTTCTCCGAAGCATCCAGCACTACATCCGGATACCACGGGTGGGAGCACGCTAGGTCAGGCAGTCCGCGGAAAATTTTTCACACGGCAAATCGTAAGTTGAAACGGCCGTCGCAAATTTGGCGGCGCGGCCGTTTTACGTCATCACTAAGCATCAATACTACACGCTCACAATTTCTATTGTAATACTATGTTATACAACAACCTACTCACAACTTTGTCACATTATAAGCACTCTTATGCTTATTTCTTACGTTACTATTATTCCTGTGTCCATTCATTACAACGCTGTTACCTAAAAGCATACACTAGGCACCAGAGCGACCTCTGGTGTCTAAAAAATTGTGATTTTGAATTCTTATACCTGTTCTGTCATTTATGCTATTTTAAAATTGCAGTTATTTAAAGCAGTTTGGCATATGGGGTTACAATCAGTAGTGTGTACAGATACGTTTTATATGGGGCACGTATTTTACAATTAGGCTGCTAACCTAACAATGACTACGGATCTTGGTATTGGGGAATATATATATATGCATGATTAGCACTTAAGATGTCGTGTAAACTCTTTCAGTATTTTCTGCATTCCCACGGTGGGCAGCTATTCTAACAACTTGCTCAGGACTTAGGTCCCTTCACTCGAGTTTCTACTTAACAGTCACCCTACGCCAGGGTCCTCATATGTGTTTTCTGTATTTTAGGTATAGGCATCCTTGCTCTTGTTAATTGGTGCCCAGCCCTCTGCTAGGGCAATATTGCCGGTAGGTATCTGAATAACAGGGGACTTAGGGGTTATATTTCTGTGCCCGTACAAATATATATTACTTTCATAGGTGACTACAGATCGTCTGTACCTCCTTTTCCTCATTATAGCTGTCAAACCGCTCATCAGGTACGTCATATCTTTTTCGACTATTTTCCCCATACCTTCCCTTTCGGCTTAGTACAGATTTACTGGCTTACAATAAATAGGACCCACTAGCTACGTTTTCTGGCCTCTTATGCCTTCGTTAGTGGTCCCGCGAGGCCAACACCCATCCTCATTTCGGAGGTACGGCATTCCCTCGGGCCATTTCATAGCTAGCCGCCTCGCTTAGTTGCATAGAGAGGGCCTCACTTGTCACTCCCATTCTGTCTTATGCCTTTACAAGTCACAGAGAGGCCACCACCCTGCCATAATGCCAATGGCCACGTTTTCCACACGCGCCAAATCATAGATAGTGCCTCTCAAGGCCGCTTGGCTACTAGCAGGGCCTCACCTGTCACGTTACTTAATAATTCTTCGCCGCTTGGCATTAGTTATCATAAGCCAGTTGGATAGCACCCCAGGTAACATGTTATTTTATGTTGTAGCATGTCTCAAGCTCCGGAAGGAAGGGAAGTTGAGTCCTTACCCAGTACACCAGCTAGATCAGTCACGCCGTCTCGGGGTGACGACATCGCAAGCCCTGCCTCACTCAGGGCATGGACTATTCCCAGGATCACGGCCGAATTAAGGAAGAGAAATATTCCTTTCCCTGCTACAGCTAGGAAAGCAGAACTGTACAGATTGCTGAACACACAGACTGATAACGCTGGGGCGGGTGAAGGGTCCAGTGGCACCCAGTCTTCAGATCTGAATACGATTCTGTCCTCAGTTCTGACCTCTTTGGGGCGTATTACTGACAAGCTAGACAAAATGGATGCAGATAGCCAGCAAAAGTCACTGGCTGCTGCAGTGGATCCGGCCGCTTCGGTCCATTTGGACCCCCTACCGGGTAATTTACAACATAGGTTAAAAGACCCACATATTATTAACCCCGCACACATGGTGCCTGCTAAAACAAAGAAGGACATCTTGGAGGGGAAAGATATCAATTTGGTTTCACTTTTGATAGCCTCACAAGATGTCCTAGAGAATAAGACCTACGCATACGGTGATGTATCAGTGGTATTGAAGTCCAGAGACCCCAGGTTGAATCAGAAGCTATCAATTCCAGAATTTGTACTGGCTTTCGGTATATACAGAGATGTAATATGCTCGGTATACCCGGATAGGAGGGAGGAATTGGACCTGTATCTCAACAAGCTGGTGGATTTGGGGCATAAGTACGGTGGTACGTCTTTTTACGACTACCACCGTGCCTTTTCCGCGAAGGCGTCGGCAGCCCTTTCACAGTTCAATTACCAAATGGATTGGGGCGTCCTGGATACAGAGCTTTTTTGCCGACACTTCGCGGGCCTAAAAACCCCAGCTTGTGCCATTTGCTCGTCCAATTCTCACACGGCTAATCTGTGCCCTAATTCTCCAGAGGTAAACGCTGTTTTTCCACCTCCTAATGTAGTACCCACAGGGAGACCTGGCAAGGTGCTTAAAGATAAACTAGGCCGTGACATAGTGTTTTTGGGTAAATCGCAGGTCTGTAACAATTTCAACTCAGGTTCCTGCGGTTACAGTGCCTGCAGACTTCTCCATGTTTGCTCACTATGTTTCAGAGCTCACTCCAAGGCAATGTGCCCAAATAAACTATACCCTAAGCAGTACTTATCGTCTCTTCATGTCTCCCTACTGAAACAACTTTTGCGGGATCACCCTTCCCAACATCTCGTTGATTTTTTGGTGACAGGGTTTAAGATGGGGTTTCACACGGGTATTATTCACATGCCCACGGGGATCCTAGAATGTAATAATTTGCAGACAGCCTTGGCAGCACCCAACACTATCGACTTACTCCTACAGAAGGAAATTGACCAAGGTTTCTTATTAGGCCCTTTCAACCCCCCGCCTTTCGCAGTTTGGAGGACAAACCCCATAGGACTGGTCACCAATAAATCCTCCAATAAACAAAGATTAATTCTCGATCTGTCCGCCCCCCATGCATCTCATACCCCAAGTCTGAATTCACTAATCCCGTCTGAGGAGTTTTCCCTCCAGTATGCCACCATCGATCATGCAGTCACAGCCATACTCTCAGCAGGGGTAGGGGCATGGCTGAGTAAAACTGATATTGCCAACGCTTTTAAGCTGCTCCCTATCCACCCATCCCTATGGCATTTGCATGGTGTTAAGTGGCGAAGTTCATATTACTTCTTCACGCGTCTCACGTTTGGCTCAAAAAGCAGCCCTAGGATTTTCGATATCTTCGCGGAGACGTTGTGCTGGATGCTGCTTAACATCTGCAGATGTCCCACAGTTATCCATTACCTGGACGATTTCCTGACCATAGAAAGTAACCTAGTACCTCCCAGTAGCCTCCAGTCTATCACAAAACTGTTTACACAACTAGGGGTGCCTATTTCACCTACCAAGACTGAGGGTCCGGATACTATCATCCACTTTTTGGGGGTGGTACTGGACTCTGTACACATGCAAGCTAGCCTACCCAGAGAAAAGATTGAGCGCATCCTGGCAGCTATCGACCTTTACTTAGGAGGAGGCTCATGCAATAGGAAGGAGTTGCAATCCTTGTTGGGTTCTCTAAATTTCGCTATGAGAATCATTCCACAAGGTAGAGCATTCATTTCAAGGTTACTTAGCCTGTTTCCAATGTTGCAATCTGACACCTCCCGCATTACTTTAGACGTACAGGCCACCGCTGACCTACATATGTGGAAGGAGTTTTTGCAAAATTGGAACGGGAAAAGCATGTTTATACCGGTTTGGTCAGAGAAGTCGGAGTCAGTCTGGACGGATGCCGCAGCCACCTCAGGTTTTGCAGCAATATGGGGCAATGAATGGATGTGGGGAGAATGGCCTAGGGAAATTACAGAGATCCCCGGTTTAAGGACACATCAGCCTTGTTTGAGCTCTATCCTATCTTAGCGGCAGCAGTTAAGTGGGGAGCAAGTTGGTCCGGGAATACGGTTCGTTGCTTCTCGGACAATATGGCAACATGCCATATTGTAAACAAGGGGCGTTCCTCTTCCCTCACCATCATGCGTTTCATGAGGACTCTCACATGGCTCGCTGCAAAACACAGTTTTCTTCTCACTTGTGTTCATGTGCTTGGGGTTCTCAACATTGCAGCTGATCATTTGTCACGGTCTCGGTTTCAGGAGTTTCGGGAGGCCCTGTCAACAGCGGCCCTCATACCAACTCCAGTTCCAAAGTGGCAGGAAATGATCTGGGACTAAAAGTTCTGCTATGTCAAGGGCGACAACTCTCACAGCTCGGTCTCTCCGATAATACCAGAAAGGCATATGAAAGGGCTTTCCATGTTTTCAATAAATTCTTGTTGGACTTTAATGTCACTGACCAGTTTTCTATGGAAACCATTATTGCTTTTATTTCTTTTTGCCACTTTCGTCTAACATTATCTTACAATACCATCAAATTATATATCACAGGCATTCAGCATCACATCCTCACCACTTGGCCTAACAAACAACGCTTTCTGTCGTCCTACCAAGTTAAGGCTATACTTAAAGGCATCAAAGACTCCGCCCCTATAGCCTCACCAACTAGACTACCCATACACGATGTATTGTTTCAGTCACTGTCAAAACTACTAGACACCTCACCCTTTGAAGCTCATACTAATCGTGTAATTAAAGCCGCCATCTATCTAGCATTTTACGGGTTTTTACGGCCCCGAGAATTCACTACTACTAGCTATAATTCACCCATTTTCCTCACAAGGTCCGATCTCATAAAGGTCCAAGATCACTATCTTCTCTTACTGCACCATACCAAAACAAGCGCCCCCGGGCAAACGGTCACTATACCCTATTACCCCACAAGTAATACTTGGTGCCCGGTGAAGGTTTTCGACACCCTTCTTGCCTTTGACAATATGGGCCCCACACAACCACTCCTGTCCTTGCACGGCAATAAGCTCACTACGAGCCAATTCATGATGTATATTAGGAAATTGTTAGCCCGGTTAGGACTGAACCCAGCCAGCTACTCTGGTCACTCTTTTAGAATAGGAGCCGCCACCACCGCTTCTAAAAAGAATATCCCTGCTCACATTATTCAGATACTAGGACGATGGAAATCTACGGCATACACCAGATACATACCTCAGCCCATACAAGAAGTACAAATATATACAAAGTAACAGGGCGCCACAGTCACTATATCGGTATATATGAGGGCAAGAAAAATATATATAATGACTAATATCCAAAAAATAGTAATTTATTGACACAAGATAAAAAATAACAGCACCTGTCCTGAGCTCCTGAGGAAGTCTGGCGACGAAAGTCTGGCGACGAAACGCGTTGAGCATTGAACACTGAGCACTATCTGGGACCCTGCATTGTGGTATCAGCGGTTTTATTTTGTGTGTATGCTGTTTGTTTACATTTATACTTTGGGCCATTTGAATATATATGTGTCATTTACTTGGTGCAATTTTAACACCAGCATTTTGCCTTTGAGCATTTGCACTTTCATTTTGCACTTTAGCATTTTGCACTTTATTGCCCAGTTCAGCATTATGTATCATTGAGCTGCTATACCTATGGGTTCCTGCTTATTTATTGTTTTGGCACTTATTATTGTGCTGTTATTTTTTATCTTGTGTCAATAAATCACTATTTTTTGGATATTAGTCATTATATATATTTTTCTTGCCCTCATATATACCGATATAGTGACTGTGGCGCCCTGTTACTTTGTATATATTTCTATTTTGATTATTGGATTTGGAGTGTCCAATCTACAGAGGCTGGCCTGCACTTGGTTTATATCCATTGTTACTGTTCATTCACCCATCTTTCTATTTTCTTGTTCATACAAGAAGTACGCCTGGCTTTCAAAACTATGAATTTGTAATCTGTTATGTCCGGTTGTAGGACGAATAAATGGTTATCTCTTTTTGCCCTCTTTTATTTCAGGCCTACTTCCTCGTCAGTTCCGGCACACCACAACTGACATTTCCTTTCATGGTTTGTCCTATTTATATAAGTTATACTACGTTTATGCCCTGACCACAAATGGAAGGCGTGGCCTGAAGTTGTGGGAAGGGCTGGGTTACCCTTCTTAAGGGACTCCAGACCCTTCCCTCACTACCTGTTAGGTGCGACGGATTCTCCCACCCACCACACTGCTTTCATAAGCATTTTTATAAGGTAGGCCCTCTTTTATTTCAGGCCTACTTCCTCGTCAGTTCCGGCACACCACAACTGACATTTCCTTTCATGGTTTGTCCTATTTATATAAGTTATACTACGGCTTATGCCCTGACCACAAATATATATATATCATATAAAATTAGTATCATATAATGACAAAGAAGTAGAGGGAAATCTGTCCCTATAATAAAAATCTCGAAGATACTTTATTTCTACAAATAAGAATGGTGCATACATCTAGATATAAGTGTCTATGAAATTAGAATTGTATAATATCTTTTTTATTGGACGAACAGAATATACATTTTTGAATGACAAACGTTTGGGGGGAACCTCCCTTTCTCAAGTCTAAAGAAAAATGCATCAAACTTGAGAAAAGGAGGTTCTCCCTAAATCTTGGCATTCCAAAATTATCTGCTACAGAAATACTTTATATCAAAGGGAGGATCTCCCAAATCTTGTATTTCCAAAAATCTGTACTCCAACTTTATATAAAACAAACACTGACACTCGACTTTCAAATCCAAATACCTTGGTGCCTACAATGCTGTATTTAGCAATTAATTTGAAAAACTGGAGCACTCACTTTTTATGCAAACAAAATCTCCTTTAATTAAGAAAAAAATCAAACCATGATTGTTACATTTGTGACCTTGTCTTTTTATCAAAAATGTAAAAATCATTGTTTAAAGTTTGTTGAATTAAAGGAATTTTTGTTTGCGTAAAAAGTCATAATAGTGTTCCAGTTCTTCAAATTGATATGTATAGAGTATAGGGATAGGTTTCTCTACCTTGTCTTCCATCTACAGAATTTCCTCACTTTTTGCATTATCACCAATTTCTATGATTCTCCATACCTTACCCTGGACAGAGCAATTTGAAAGGGCCCTCACTTGCCCTACTTCCTCGCTGCTTATTGTTTAATATTGGACCTACATCCTAAAGATTTCCGCATTTACTGATCTCTAAACTTTTGTATCCCCTTCCAGTTCTTCTCACCTTGAGAACTTTGGAAAACTTTGGTATTTCTTTTTGAAAATAATTTAACATGGCCTATTTAGAGTGTCGATTTATTTAGATTTTACAAAACCATAGGTTCACCCAGTTAAACATTTCCAGTAGTTGTCATTTTCTGTTTTTATGGAACAAATTAATGTATAATGTTTTCTTTCCTCTTTGTCTTACCTGTTTATCTGAGCTATCATTTTATTGCATGAATCCTTCATCTCGTGATGTTTGTTTGAAATTTACAGGTAAACCCTTTGAAAGCACCATGATACTGAATGGCTCAGTTGCCAACATAATAGTGTCAGTATTACTTGGAAAACGCATGGATTATGAAGACAAAACATTCTTAAGACTCTTAAAGTTGATAAATGAGAATGTGCAGCTCTTCGGATCACCACAGGTTGCGGTAATAAAACACTTTATTAATCTGTTATTGACTTAAATCTAAAACAGGTCTTATTAGACAAGCAACTGGATTGAAAATTACATGATTTTGCTATTGCATGACGAAAAGTCATGATTTTAATAAAGACACGGAGGCGAGTATTTGCATATCCCTTTCTTTACTGTGCACTCCATAGCAGCAAAGAACATTAACAGAATTGAAAGAAAAGGTAGTACATGTCTCACACACAGGCCACGCCCCTTTATGTCCAGTATATTACCCGGGTCCACCTTCCCCTTTCCCTCTTTCTGAAGGTGCTACACGAAAAAAAACGTAAGAACATAACATGTAGGTAACTGTCAACAAAACTTTGGGCTTTCTGTAACCCGCATAACTGTGAGTCCCATGGAAGCAAGTTCATAAATAGGTGATGATGAGCCATTTCCACTGGATGAGAAGGGTCATTTCATCCGGGCATGGCAGCGTGTCTCCGGCTGACTCATGCAGGTCCAGGTCAGGCTGTGAAAACATAAGCGACAGAAACCCAAAGGTTAAATCGGCTCTGTGTACCTATATCAAGGCCGGAAGAGGCCGAATATACATAATCTCACCTGAGCATCATGCTAGTGCAATTGCATCTATACGACAAAGAACTACATACCTAAGTGCAAGAAAATGTCCCACTTACCACTTGTCCGTAGTCGTCCATCTGCAGACGATGTGGGTGGGAAAATTTGTGGAATAAGATCCTCACATACTTACGCAAGTTGGGTGGGACAATACTCGCCTCTGTGTCTTTATTAAAATCATGACTTTTCGTCATGCAATAGCAAAATCATGTAATTTTATTACAAGACACGGAGGCTCGTATTTGCAAGTTTAAAGCTGGTCCACTACTGCCGTAAACAGGTGAGTAGTCGGGCGAAAGTAATATTCTCGGAATGTCGACTCTCTAGACCAATCAGCCATCCTCATAAGATCCTCCAGGCGTGCCCCAGATGTGATAACTGCGGATGCTGAGGCGCTCCTTACTGAATGAGCCCCGAAAATGGAGGTATCGATACCTGCTGAGCCGAGTAGCCACTTCAACCAACGGGATAGGGTAGTGCTTACCACTGGTTTAAAAGGTGGACGGAGTGAGAGGAAGAGCTGGGAAGTAGTCGCCACCCGGTTAGTACGAGTGCGATCCTCGTATTCTCTTAAACACGCCACCGGGCACAATGCTGGTGTAGATGGGAAAGCCGGGTATGAAACCGATCTAATTGATGTTTTGGTTTGTCTATTGATGGTGAACGTTACCCCGTCAGGGGTGTATGATCTAGCGTCGAGGTCCAAGGCCCGGACGTCCGATACTCTCTTGCAAGATATAAGGCAAAGGAGACAAAGTAATTTGGCTGATAATTGGCGTAGGGAGAGATCCGGATTTGGAGGCCAGGCGAGGAGGAAGGACAAAATAGTGGAAACATCCCAAGTGGAGGAGTAGCAGGGCCTGGGTGGTCGGGAAAGTCTGGAGCCCCTTAGGAGTCTGCACACTAGTGGGTGTTGACCGGCTGGGTTTCCGTCCAAGCCTTGGTGTGTCGAGGAAATAGCCGATCTGTATAAATTGATAGTTTGGTATGCCTTCCCTTCCTCGAAGAGGGATGTGAGGAAATCCAGAATGAGTGTCATAGGGGCTGAAACGGGATCCACGTTCCTAGCCATGCACCAGCTAGCCCAATTTCTCCAGGCTGACCCATATGCTCGTTGAGGGCCCGGAGCCCATGCATCCGCCAAGAGTCGTCGAGTAGAGTCTGAAACACCTCGGATTTCCCAGGGTCCCCTGAAATGCGCCAGGCCAGTAGGCTGAGAGAGGCATTCACCAGGAGGGGGTGACAATCCCCAGACGGGTTCCTGAGAAGGTCCTGGAAGGTTGGCAGCAATCTGGGGAGATCCACCGCCATCTCCAATAGCTGTGGGAACCATGATTGCGTCCACCAGAAAGGGGTGACGAGGACTAGTTCGGCCCACTGGCGGCGGGTCTGGATGAGGGTGCGGGGGATCATCGAGAATGGGGGAAACGCATATAGTGGGGTTTCTTGCCAGTTCTGCAGGAAGGCGTCCACGGCTTCTGCCGCTGGGTCTGGTCTCCAGCTGAAGAAATGCGGGAGCTGGGCGTTGAGTCGAGATGTGAAAAGATCTATAGCAAAAGGACCCCACAGAGATGATATAGTGGAGAACACCTCCACGTCCAATTTCCAGTCGCTGGCGTCTGAGAGATAGCGAGAACTCCAGTCCGCCTGAACATTGTGTAACCCTGGCAAATATTCTGCTTGAACCATCAGGTTCCGTTCCAGACAGAACTCCCAGAAGTCCTTCGCTAATCCGGCTAAGAGCGCCAAATGGGTACCGCCCATGTGATTGATGTACCGCACTGCCGAAACATTGTCAATGCGGAGGCGTATACATCCATGTGCCTGATCTTTCACAAAGCTGCAGACTGCGAAGGAGCCCGCCAGGAGTTCCAAGGCATTGATGTGTAACCGGGCTTCGGTTTCTGACCAGCGGCCTCCCGTAGACACGTCTGTGCAGTGAGCGCCCCATCCCTGTAGGCTCGCATCTGATTCTATGGTGAATTCCGGGAGGGAGCTGAAGATCACCTTGCCATTCCAAGCGGACAGGTTGAAAATCCACCAGCGGATTTCATCTTTTGTCTCTCTGTCCAGAGTCACCAGGTCCGCGTAGGACGCGCCGTCCCGTAGGTGCGCAATCTTGAGTCGTTGTAGGGCTCTGTAATGTAGAGGGGCGGGGAATACCGCCTGAATGGAGGATGTTAAGAGGCCGATCAAGCGAGCTAATTGTCGCAACGTGAGTTGCGGTCGGAGGAGTGCCCTGCGCAGCTCCTTGCGGAGCGCACGAACCTTGCTCGTGGGCAGGCTCAAGAATTCTTGAAGTGAGTCCACCATAAATCCTAGGAATTCTATCCGTGTTGTAGGGGTCAGACAGGATTTCTCCCAGTTGATGATGAACCCTAGACGGGAAAGGAGATCTATTGCCAGTTTGATGTGTCGCAAGAGGACCTGGTGAGCTTGAGCCATGAGTAGGATGTCGTCTAGATAGACGATAAGTCTTATCCCTCGACTGCGTAGCCAGGCCATCGCCGGGCGGAGGAGCTTGGTGAAGCACCAAGGGACCGATGAGAGGCCAAAGGGGAGGCAGGTAAAACGCCAGGTCTTGTTGTGCCAAAGGAAGCGTAAGAGGTCCCGAGATGTTTCTGCCACCGGGACTGTAAGGTAGGCATCCTTGAGGTCTAGTTTCGCCAACAAATCTCCGTGTTGGAGTAGGTCTCTCAGGAGGTGTATACCCTCCATCTTGAAATGACGATACTTTACCAAGTTGTTGAGGGGACGCAGGTTTATAACTGGGCGCATAAGGCCCCCTTTTTTCTCCACGTGAAATACATTGCTCAGGACCCCAGCATTGCCTATGGGTGCCTGTTCTATCGCCCTCTTGTCTAGGAGGTCGAGTAGTTCCTCGTTGATCAACATGCGATCGTGCCGAGAGAGGTAAAGTGGTCTGGGGGAGGGGATGCTTACTGGATCCCCCACTAGCTCTATGTGAAACCCCCGTATTGTGTTGAGCACCCAGGTGTCGGACGTCAGGTCCGACCATGTTGGGAAAAAATGTTGGAGTCTGCCCCCTACACAAACATGAGAAAAACATAGGTGTGTGCACAGAGTGTGAGAATTGTAAAGACTCACCGTAAGGTCGTCTTGAGCCGGTGTATCCACGGAAACCTCATGAGCGCCATTGCCGGCCGCGGGACGGGAAGAATGGAGACCGGCCCCTTGTGTCGTGATAGGTGGGGCGTTGAGTAATGGAGCCTCATCCCGTACTTCGGGACTGGAAATAATTCCGGGCGGCCAGACGGCTCCTAGATCTGCCGGCCCTGGTAGAGACCCATCCCTGGAAAACCTTTCTCATAGAGGTTTGTGCTTTATCAAGGGCAGTGAACGTGCCCACATAACGCCCCAAGTCTTTGATAAATGAGTCTCCAAACAGAAGGCCCTGGGCATCTTTGCCGGCTTCCGTGAGGGCCAAGTTGGCTAATTTGGGGTCAATTTTAAAAAGTATGGCTTTATGCCGTTCAATTGATAGGGAGGTGTTCACACTCCCGGCAATGCATATTGCTCTTTGGACCCAGCCACGAAGGTCATCGGGGTCAACCATGCGGTGTTCCGCTTTGGCGTCTTCCGCCAGGTCAAACAGTTTGGCCAAGGGGCCAAATATGTCTAAGTGCTTGCTTGGCAGGCACGCAGGGCTGAGTCTAAACCCTTGCATGGGTTCCAGCTCAGTTTGGTTAGGTACTGGGTCATTTTTGGGTCCACTTCTGGGGTGTCACACACTTTATTGGGGACTATTGGTCTGGGGCATTCTGCCCTAAGCTTGTTTCTTGCTGCCTTACTGAGTGGGCGCCGTACCCAGGCTTCTAGGTAGCCTGCAACGTGGTCCGCTGGGAGCCATTCCGCGGACCTTGGGTGGTGAAGCTCGTCCGGGTCAAATAATGGCTCTCTCAGCGGATCCACTAGGACGGACCCCGCGGCCGTGGGGGATGCCATCCCTAATTCACCTCCATGCGTCTCCGCTTGTGTGGAGGAAAAGGGGTCTGTGCCCCACTCAGGTCTCTCTGTATCTGAGTCGGTCTCTGACTCGATCTTGGCCTCCTCCTCTGACCCCATTTCAGAGTCGGAGTCGCTCTCAATTTGTGCTCTCGCACGTTTCCAAAGCCGCGCCCGTTCTGCCTGGCGCGGAAAGGCTTGTTTGCGTGATTGGGTCACGATTTCAGGGGCGACCAATGGTGCACCAGTCTTGGTGTTTCTGGAGGCAGGGAGAGAAATATGTTTGGCTTTGTGCGTAGCCTTTCTATGTGCCTGGTTACAAGGCTGTCCCATAGGGCGCATGAGGGTTGCGCCTAAATCACTTGGATCTGCATCCATAGGCCGTGCCAAAAGGGCTTGGGCAATGGACTGAGAGAGGGCTGATGACATAGATCCCATTGCTGCCATAATGGCATCGGACATAAAGCGCTGAAGCGGCGTGAATTGGGGTCCCTCTGAAATATGGGGGTTATGACCTGAAGAGAGCGGGTTTGACATGGTGGCTAAGGTCTCCCCTAATGGGGTGGTGTTGTCCCCATCCGTATGGGCGGGGGAGACAGGCATATTGGGTTTAGGCATAGTAAAATCAATGCTAGGGATAAAGTCAGTGAGAGTAATTCACCCAAGCTGACTGTTAAAGTAATAGTAGAATTGCAATATTCAAAACCAGATAGGAGAAAAGTATTTAAAAATGCTGACAGACAGAAGACAGAGACTCTCACCAGGGCCCAGACCGTTGGTAGAAGGAGGGCAGGTCCCAAAAAGGGGGGAGGAGAAACAGGAGGGTCACTGAGTTGACCAGAAAAGAGCGGGAAAAGAAAAAAACGAATTAATGCAGTGAATAGATAGAAGGGTTTAAGTAAAGTGAATAAAAAAGGTGAACAGTTGTTCGTCTAAAAAATTCGAATGAAAAATTTGAATGACAAATTCATCTAAAATGAGGGAAAACAGCCGAACGGTCTATGTGATAATGAGTGAATGCGGAGACAGAAGTACCCAAGGAGAAAATGGCGGTAAAGCGTTGAACAGAGACCAGAAAACATGTATAAGGTTTAGTGAGAGAAGGAGGTCAGGAATTTCTCACAAGGAATAAAGGTGGGGTACCCTTAGTGAGTATAAGGGCACCCCACACGGTCTGGGAACCTGGGAGTACAACGAAGAATTAATATTCAGTCATATAAAATACATCAAGCAGGAAAATACATCAAGCAGGATGTAAGGAAAAGATTAATAAAATTATAAACGTATAGTAATGAGAAAATGTGTAATTGCGGAGAACAGACTGCAACAGTGTAGTATAGATAACAAAGTTACTAATATAAATACAAATTGGCATAATGTAGATAAAACCATTTTCAAATGTGTTCTTTGTAAGACTTCGTTATGGCTCAAGTATATCACTGATGTATTGTTTGCTATTTGTTATTATTGCTAATATTATTACTATCATTATGTATCTATTGGATTAAAGTCAGGGCTGTTACCTACATGGGCTATAATAAGTGACACATTTGCAGATCACTCAGATGTGTCCCTACATTAGACTTAAGAAATCTATAACTGAGAAACGTAGCTTGAGCTTGGACACGGCTATAATAAACAAGAGTATGTGTGCTTAAGGTGTCCAGCATGTCTAAAGCATAACCAGAAGTATTAAAAAGCACTGAAGCCTCACTATTGGTTATGTTAAAAGCCACCAAAGGACTAAAAGGTAGGAGAGGTAAAACTTTATCAAGCATACTGGCCCCACGAAATAGACTCCCAACTCACACCAGGTCACCAAAATCCAGTCAATTACACGCCATCAGACACAGGGCACCACACAAGCCTGCATCTTTGCCCTCTGTCTGTCCTGCATCCATAAATATTGTTTTATTTTGGCACTAATCATGGAAAATAGTCCTATGCGTCTTCAGTAACAATTTCTGCATTACCACATCTATCTCACTTATATGTTGTTTGATTTTTGTTATTTGTCTTTTATTTTTTAATAGCTTTACAACATATTTCCATTTATTCGATTTCTTCCTGGAGATTACAAAAAGCTTACAACAAATTTGAAAGAACTTTTTGCATTTATTAAAAGTACATTTGTGGAACATATGAAGAATTTAGACATACTTGATCCACGGAGTATAGTTGATGCGTTTCTAGTACGTCAAAAAATGGTAAGTGTTATATGAACCTTTGGAGAGCTAACCATCTGAGCACATGGACCCACATTTCTATGAACTAACATTTTTTTATATTGATTGATATTATCTACTGCTCAAAATGCAATATCTAAAAATAGCATCTAAAGTGAAAAGAGAATATTAACTGTATACATTAGTGGCGTACTTGTTGGGGGCAGTCCACCCTCGGTGATAGGCAGAAGAGGGTTGCACAGAGCATCCTCTCCCATCTGAGAAAGCCTACTGGAACATTGCTGGCCAAGTAGCTGTCGTGTCTGCTCTGCTGCTGTCGTACATGGATGTGGAGGGCATGACAATGGGGCTTCTGGAATATTTCTGTGCTGATTTTCCATGTCCTTCTCGTGGTCTGTAAGTGATGGAGCCAGCATTTGATGTTACCCCAGCTATGGCATCAGTAGAAAGCTTCTGGGAGCTGGGCAGTGAGTAGAGAGGCTGATCCCAGCAACACACCACTGTACATAATGGACGAGGTTCCACTTTAGTTCTCCATTTTTCACCTCACTGGTCAACCCACCACCCCAAATAAAAATAAAATGAAAATTAAGTGTGTGTGAGACTCTGTGTTTGTGTGGTAGTCTGTATGTCTGTGTGAATCTGTGTGTGTGTCTGTGTGAGTCAGTGAGTATGCATTTCAATCTATGTATGTGTATGAGTGTTTGAGTCTAAATGTGTATGAATCTATGTATGTATATCAATGTCTGGGTCTATGTCTGTGCACATGTCCATGTGTGTATATGAATGCACGTGTATGTATAAATGTGTTTGTTTCTGTGTCCATATGTTTGTGTGTAAAACTTTGTCTAATTATATCAAAGTGTGTGTCTTTTGTGTCCGTGGGTGTGTATATGAATGTATGTGTGTGTGTGAACAAATGTATTTTTGTATGTGAATGTATATGTGAATATGAATGTGTATGTGAATGAAAGTATGTGCATGTAAAGAAAGTTGGGGTACATAGTAAGATACACACAAAACTAAATATACACTTGTGGGTGCAAAACACATGTATGGTCACCGTGCTGTGTAAACTAGGTCTTGGTCTCTAAATCCATAATTACTACAGTTTTATTTTACTTTCTAAATATTGCAGCATTTAAAGGAATACTGCAGAACAGAGTGCAAATTTATAAAGCCGGGAGGGAGCTCTCCTTGGTTCCTTTGAGCAATAGCTCAAAGTAGAAGCTATGCTTCTTGGAGAAGTAGTGAATTCAATGCTCACTCACGCACTCAAAATCTTATCACATGCAGATATGTAGTTACTAAATTTCAGTATAATACCATTGCCATCAATGCAAGTGTTAGCTCTTTCTACTGAAAATGTAAAACTGTATTATTTGCAGCAAGTATCTTGTTGGAAATGAAACCAGAAGAAGCAGCTCATCCCTGTAGGTTTCTTTTGCAGATTGGATAAATTTTCCCATAATTCCTACTAAATTGAGTATATTATATTACATTAAGCTTTAATATACAAACATACGATGTGCAATGATAAGATTAGTGTTGTTTGTATGACAATTTTAATTTATTGTATTTAATTAATACAGACTTATGTGATATGAGAAACTTATCATTTGCCTTGAATATATCCAAAATCCCCATGAAATCCTTGTTTTCATCAAGTAGTTAAAAATTGATGGGCTAGCTCTCCCATTTGTTTTTGCTAGCCGCTCAATGTTTGAAAGTATAACAAAAAATCAACAAAGAAGAGGAAAAAAAACATAAAAAGATAATTTTACAATGTGTTTTTTGAAAACCATCAATAGTTTTCCAATTTCTGTGTTTTGAAATCTTAGGAAAAAGAGAACGGTGAATCATATTTTCACAATGATAACCTATCCAGCCTTGTAAGGAATTTATTTTCTGCAGGAATGGAGACAACTTCTACCACACTCCGCTGGGGTTTGCTTTTAATGATTAAGTACCCACATGTTCAAGGTATTCATCATCATTATTTTACTTTTTATTATTTCTGTAATCATTATCTTCTTGGACAGCATATTAATTGAGTAATTCTGCTTAATGGAGGATTGTAATATAAATGGTGTCCATATATGGATGACAGTCATGTGTTGAGTGTGTCAACTGATGTACTCATCCAATGAATAGAGAATTCATATTGCTAATGTGGAATTGTAACTTCCATAACAGCAAACTGCTGAGTGAGAGTCTAGACTGGGTTACAGCGCAGCCCTTGCCTTCGCCAAACAGTCATACTTTTTCTCTCTCATTAGTTTGTGCTCCTGGAATCCCAGGCATCTCTTTGACACCTTTAACTCTCTTCGCCCCTCAAACTAACCTTACAGCCGAGAGCTTTGCATGCTACTTTACCGACAAGATTGAACAGCTAAGGAAATAATGCATCCCTCCCTGCCTTACTCTTTCTCAACCACATGTAGATCATGCCTTTCCTAACCTTCAGACTTTCTCCCTGGCTACTGAACAAGAGGTGGCTGCGCTTCTCCTTTCCTCTCGCCCCACACTTGCCCACTTGATCCTGTCCCATCTCACCTTATCAGATCTCTCTCCCCTTGTCTTATGCCTTTCTTAACACACATCTTCAACTGCTCTCTTTCTTCTGTCATTGTCCCTGCTGACCTTAAACATGCTACTGTAGTACCTATCCTGTAAAAAACATCCCTCGACCCATCAACCCCCTCTAACTATTGTCTCATATACCTGCTCCCTTTTTCCTCAAAGCTTCTGGAAAGACTTGTCTTTACCCATATGTCTCACCTGAATTCCAACTCTCTCCTTGACCCTCTTCAATCTGGCTTCTGCCTCCTCCACTCTACTGAGACTGTTCTTATCAAAGTTACTAATGACCTAATCACAGCTAAATCCCAAGGCCACTATTCCATACTAATACTTCTTGACCTCTCTGCTGCCTTTGACACCATTGATCATGCTCTCCTTCTTCAAACTCTTCAATCACTCAGTCTCTGTGACACTGTCCTCTCTTGGTTTTCCTCCTATATCTCCCAACGCTCATTCAGTGTCTCCTTTTCTAATGATACCTCCTCCATTCATCCTGTCTCTCTTGGAGTCCCCCAAGGCTCTGTCCTTGATCCCCTTCTATTTTCTCTTTATACTGCCTCTCTTGACAATTTTATTGCCTCATTTGGATTCCATTACCACCTGTACGCTAATGACACCCAGCTATATCTCTCCTCCCCAGACCTCTTCCCTACCATCCTGCAACGTGTCACCGCTTGCCTTTCCTCCATCTCTGACTGGATGTTCTCCCGCTTTCTAAAACTCTCTAAAGTGGAACTCCTTGTCTTTTCCTCCTCCTAATACAGATCCTCTTCTTTTGCTATTCAAGACAGTGGTATCCACATCAGTCCATCCTTGCAAGCTTGCTGTCTTGTCATATTTGATTCTAGCCTCACCTTTGAGCCTCACATCCAGCATATTACCAAATCCTGTAGATTCCAACTTAAAACATAGCCCTTATGCAAGATGATACAAAAGAGCTTGTTCATGCTCTAGTAATTTCTCCAGGGATTATTGTAACCCTCTCCTAATTGGTCTTCCCAAAAACTGTATTGCCCCACTACAGTCTGTAATGAATGCTGCTGCAAGACTAATTTTCCTCTCTAGTCGATCCTCTCACACCTCACCCCTTTGTCAGTCCTTACATTGGCTTCCTGTATCCTATAGTCATTTCAATTAGTCAATTCAAAATGCTAAGTCATACCTATAAAGCATTGATCAATTCTAGCCCCTCTTATATCTCTTCACAGATCCATAGGTATGCCCCCTCTCGGTCTCTCTGATCTGCCCGTGACCTTCTCCTGTCCATTACTCGCATCCGTACGGCCAACTCACACTTGCAGGACTTCTTGCGGGCAGCTCCCTTTTTATGGAACAGCCTGCCTACCGCCATCAGACTCTCCCCTAGTCTTCAATCATTTAAGAAGTGCCTTAAAACCTATCTATTTAGGAAACCTTATGGCCTTCCAGAGTAATCTCTACCTTACATACCTGTCTCTTGCTCTCTCCTGAAGGGCAGCACTCTACTCTCTCCTCCAGCTCTACTTCACTCCCACCTATTTTGATTGCTATTCTCTGTCCTATTGTGTTTTACACCCCACCTCCTATAGACTACAAGCTCGTTTGAGCAGGGTCCTCTTCAACCTATCGTTCCTGTAAGTTTTTTTGTAATTGTCCTATTTATAGCTAACTCTCCCCTCTTATAATATTGCAAAGCGCTACGGAATCTGTTGGTGCTATATAAATGGCAATAATAATAATAATTGACCAAGGTTCTTCAAGCTATGGTGCTCCATATGTTGCTGAACTATAACTTTCATGATCCCTTGAATGAAATAGACAACTAGAGAATCATAGGAGTTGAAGTTCACCAACATCTAGAGGGACAGATTTTGGAGAACCCTGGTCTAAATGATAGGCACCCGGGGGAACCTAGATTTTGTGTCAAGCCACATAGCCCCTTCACTGCAAGTGACAATGTCAATACAATACCATCCACTGCATTTCAACATTTCTAAAGATCAAATGATCCCACCTTGTTATACAAATTAAGGATGCCCCCAAGTGATATGTGACATCACATGCAATGAGAAAATCTATTTATTGTGAAGGTGTTGTGGGAGGCAATATCCTGCAACCAATTTTAAGGCCAAATACTCAAATTCAACTCATATAGAGAGCTTATAAATTGATAGTCTTGTTTTCCAGAAATTGTCATTATTACATAAGCCAGTAAGAAGTCCTACTGAGATACCAAAACATATACAGCGACGTATTAAGGAGGGCATTAAACATAAAAAATATTTTACTTTGATTCTATAAATTAATTATGATGTGATGGAGAATGATAATGTATTTATTGTTGCTATGTCTAGAGAAGGTCCAGGAAGAGATTTCTCGAATAATTGGATTAGCCAATCCCAGTTACAATCATCGTGCAGATATGCCATACACCAATGCAGTGGTACATGAAATACAGAGGTTTGCTGATGTGGTTCCATTGAACGTTCCTCATGAAACCACAAAAGATGTCATATTTAAAGGATATTTTATTCCTAAAGTAAGTTTATTTAACATATACTGTATTCAGATTTTACTAAATTGGCTATATTTGCATTTGAACAAGAATACTCTTTCTATGTCTCGCGATAATTTGTACTGTATTTTTGGGGAAAAGTTGATATTAGGCATTAGAGAGCTGTGGAAATATTAAGAAAGTTATACTTCAAGGGAAATTCCAGACCACTAAAGGACATCAGTTTGCTGAAATGCTTTATGTGTGAAGAATGAACCTGAATGTGTGCATTGAGTAGAACAGTTGAGTTTTTTGGTTGCTATTCTGACGCTTTTAAAAACTTTTGGAGATGTAAAGTAATTTTGGAGGTGGTCTACATTTCAAAAGTTATTAACTTTGGCAAAATAACTCTGCTTTTTTACTGCAATTTATACCAAATTTACCATCTATAAATTTGTCACTACATTATTAGAGTTTAGTGAAAGCTTCCGTAAATCGGCCCAGGCAGCAAGTAAAGTGTGTGACATTTGCTCTGTTTTATTACTTGAATATGACAACATTTTAACCTACCGCACAGATCCCATCTTTTCACATGTTAATATTTGGAATATCCTGAGTTAGAAAGGATGTGCTGACATCCCTGTTTCCACTTTAAACAATGAAAAGGAAAGCAGAGCATAAAGCCATATTAAAGTTTGTGATGAAGGGTACTTGATGACAGGTTGCCTACTTTAATAATTTGTGGGCTCTTAAGCTATCTATAATAGGATACATTTCCCTATATATTTCACATTATATATATTGCTTATTATTTATGATCACCTTTAAAAAGCCCTTGTTTCCCATTTTTTTATCGCAGGGAACATATGTTATTCCATTGCTTACATCTGTTCTGAGAGACAAGACACAATTTGATTATCCAGAGGAATTTAATCCAAATAACTTTCTTGATTCAGAGGGGAATTTCTTAAAAAAAGATGCCTTCATTCCATTTTCAGCAGGTATGTGTTTTAATTTAAAAAAAATAAAACCAATTATTTGTTCTTGTTTAATAATAACTTGCTGCCGAGTGATTTCTTCACTTGTTTTCTTTCTGCTTCTTAAGGCTATGTTGTAGCAAGATCCCTTTGTTGTAAGTCATAAGTTAAAAACACTACCCAAATCAAAATTTGATCATAATGACATAATTGGCTACAGAGGTTTATTTACATCCTTAGTTAACAGGCGATGCTGGGTTAAAGAACTGAGAATCCTCCATTATATCTTTCTACTTTATCTTTTTTTTCTCCTATGCTAATACCTGCAACACTAAAGGTGAGATGTACAGTCCTCAACAAAATAGAAATCACCACCTATAACACTCACCAAAGGCACTATGGTATTGCATGTTTGGTTTGCATATGGTTGTTAATGTTAATTTATATTCATACTAAAAAAAAATCCTTGTCGTCAGAGTGCATATTGTACATACAGAAAACCGATGATCCATCACAATAGCAACGGTCATGTATGACGATTCAAATTGTAAACCTTGCTTGTAGGATACATAATGTGTTCAACTTGCCAATATCCTGTACTGTGTGACTTGATATATGTCTGATGGGAAACCAAAAATAAAGAATAAAAAAAGATTGCGTGACAAGGTTGGCAGCTACCCCGTACCTACCCAGCAGATGATATTGACCCTTCCCCATAATTTAAAGACATTAATTTTAGTTTGTTTATAACAAAAACTGCAAACAAATTGAAAAGAAAGAAAATGTATGTTGCTGTGTTCTCTCCTGTCTGCAATGACACTCGGACCACAACTAACCATGGATATAACAGAAACCTAATAAATGCTAGGTAGGCTGAATCTTATGGTCTGGACACTGCAGATACCTACAGGTAAATAGCATATGGAAACTGCTATGTTTGCATCTGAAGGGTTAAAACCTGAGGGACCTAGCACCCAGACCACTTCATTGAGTGACTATAGTGTCCCTTTAACACCTTGATCACTACATTTTACTGTTATTAAGGTTTTGATCAGTACTACACCATAGCTTAGTGATCTAAAACAAATAAATAACAATCAATATATACACATTGCAGCTAGAGATTATGGTTTCAAATATCATACTGCACAGATGGTGATGTAATTTATGAAATTATTCCTCGCAATGAGCGGGGAATAATGAATGGATCACCTCCATGTAGTCTGGTGGCCATACTCATATAAGGCCCGTTCAGGTCCTGGTCTTGGACATGACAGTTTTAAAATACAAAGTTTAGCAACCTCTCCTAGTTAACAATATAATCCAAAAGACCCCATATTCTTTTTATTCATGCACTTATATATGCTAGTGTTAAAGAGATGATGGACTTCCATATTTATAGTGTTAAAGGACCACTGCAGACCGAACTTTAGCTTGTTGAAATGCTTTATATGTGATGAGTGTGTCCTCTTTGTTATTTTAAAAAAGCTGCAAATTTTAATAGAATTTGTAAATCTAATAAATTAACCTTGTTACACCTCCCTGGCTGTTATTCTGTGCCTGTTACTACCTGGATTGTTCAGTAGAGCTAAGCTCTAGAGACAGGCAATTGCCCAGTGCAATTTCACCACATTTTGAGCTCATGAAGGGCCTGCCCGAATTTTCAAATTCCAAAACAAAGTCATAAACCTAAATTCCATATAAACTGAATAGCCCATCATTTTGGGTGATTCAAATTTTTGGTTTGCTGTGGCTAATGCTAGTAGGGACTGTCACTTAACACCAACATTAAATCAATAATTTACAGTTTGAGAGTTGTCTGATAAAGGAACACTACAAGCACAATTATGTCTTCACTTTATGTTTAACCAGCAATATTTGGTTTCAGTGTTTTTACCAACTTCAAGGACAACTAATTTTAGCAGTTATGGTTGTTCCATCATCAATTAGTTAATTAGCAGTGCATTTTAACACTATTTACTAAACATTTCTATCAGATCACCTTAGAAGGCATTTTGTGATGCATATTTGATTTGTTTAAAGCAATTTTAGAATTTAAGTTGTTGTTTTTTAAACAATATAGTATATGTATATATAACCAAGTATATGCTCTGTATGTACTGCAGGTCGCAGAGTATGTGCTGGTGAAAACCTTGCAAGGATGGAACTATTTATCTTTTTTGCAAGCTTACTACAGAAGTTCACATTCCGCCTTCCTCCTGGTATTACGGCCGTCAACCTTGATACTCTAGTTGGATTTACAAATACACCAACACCCCAAAAGATCTGTGCTATATCACGTTACTAAAAAAAACCAAGATCTTGTGTGAACCTCTTTTAATTCCATTAGATGAATAACAGTAAGCTTGTAGAAATTATTCTCTAATATTAATGTAAGACTTAGGTCCTGAGACCTCTTGATGGCTAAGATGCATGTGTACTAATGTACACATGAGTTTATTCAAAAACTTAGCAATTGTTGAAAATTGACAAAGACATTTTAGGGGCAAATATACAGGATGGATAAATAGCTAAGGCCTCAGTTTAATATTTTTGGATAAGCTTTTAAAATTATTTAATATTTTTTTATTAACTTTTAACACAGTTATTTTCAAAATAGTAACGTAACAAAAATATATAATGTATAAAAAAATAATATTAATGAATCAAAAATGTATTGAGATAAAATATTTTTTAAAATATTGAATCATTTAAAAAATTTATAAACAAAATGTTAAATCATTTGAAAAGGTTATTCAAAAACATTAAATCGGAAAGTTTTAAATGAAGGCGTGTATTTCTTTGTTGCAAATTTTTGTGACTCACATTTTTTATTATTTTGAGTTTCTTTGTTCACAATCCCCCTTCTGTGTGTGTGTCTTTACTACCCCCTTTCTCACTCTCTCCCTTACACCCCTACTTGTATCTCTTTCGCTCCCTGGCCTACATACCTACAACAGCTCTTGGTAACATGGCCATGTGGTTGGTGTTGGCGCCCTCGATGCCAGTAATCATCCTTCCACTATAAATGACTTAGTGACTTAGATATTGTAAAAATTCTTCATTAATTCTAGTACTTAGAGGTGTGCATGTATGGGGCAGCATACCATAAGATTATAACCTCATTCTCTATTTAACTGACTGAGCACCTAACTGTAGAAGATGGATTACAGACTCTAATGAACCAGGAGGCTTCGGAAAGGCAACATGATTACTAACTCAGCCCAAATTCACTTAACCACACTTCATGAGGCACTAGGGAAGTACAGTGGATTGCAGAGTCCTCTATCCTATAGAGTTCTGCAGGGATAAATTAAAGTAAGCCAGACTGTCTGTTCTAACTAAGGTCCTGTTCTAACTAAGGTTTGAATAAAATTCCCAAATCCATCTCTGGTAATACACGTTTTTTTTATTTCCATAATATAGTTACCTTTGTAAAATGTTCAATAAACATAAACAACTATACAACCCGTTCCATCATATCATTTAGACAAAATATTGATAAGTTTCTCTTTAACTCCCAGCACTGCATTCTATTCAGAACACAATGGTTCTATCCTGTTCTTGCTTCAGAATATGAAATGTGTAACAACATAAACTACAAGCACACAGTGTCTTTGGTAATGCGGTAATGCATTTCTTAACTTTTTTTGGATTAAGTCTATTAATAATTAATACAAGTTATAAACATTTAATAAACATGACATACATTTTACAAGGTGATAAGTTTTGTTTTCATGATTACATTAAAAATATTTATATCACACACAATGTTCTGTTTTATTTATATTAATATTTTGCTTTTTGTTTATTTTTCATCTCTACTAATGCTAATTCCTAACATTTTAATGTAAGTTTGTGCTTTCTATTTTTAATGTATGCATCCCCAAATATGCATGCTTCACCCTATATTTTATTTTTATGTGATTTTGCAGGATACATTTTCCATAAGCATCCATAGTGAAATTTAAGAGATGGCTGTCATATGTGTAATTATTTAAAAAAAAATATTTAAGAGAGGCAGACATGGAGAATTACAGTCCACAAATTAGACAGAATAAGCATTAGTCTAAGATTAAACACATAACATTTCAAATGAACTATATATCATAAAGAAGAGAGCAATTCAATATTATGCTAACAATAAAATATATATGATATGTTCTGCAAGAGAGTTTAGAATACTATACATATGAAACATATTACTTTTTCTTACTGTCTGGGTCTGTTCATAATTTTTAATGAACAGAGGTAGGAGAAAGAAAATTAAATTAAAAAAACAAAAAAAACAAAGAAGGAAAAGGAGTGGAAGGATGCTCCGGCTGCAATCCTGGGCCACAGCCGCCCAAAAGCATGCATGTACGAATGTAAGGGATGTCAGCAGCCTCCTAACTTAGATTGCGTTACGTCTCCCAGGCAATAATAGACGCTTGCTAGATATGCATGATCGTTCCATGCTGTAGGACAATACTGTAGGCATTGCTGGAACACATTAACATACTAATCACTCTCCATGGCAATCCCTGTGACTGACAGCCCCATACACCAATAGGGTGATATAGAGGTAGTCCAGAATAGGTGTGCCATACATTTATCACCCTATTTAAACTCAGAACAGCTGAACCTTCATTGCTCAGTTGTTCTGTGCTACATACCTGTTTCCTTGCTGTACCAAACCTGCTCTCTGTGATTTACCTGACCTTTGGCTTGCCTATAGTTTATGAACCTCTGCTGCCTGGATTTTAACATTTTAGATTGCCTGAACTTGCCTCTGCCTTGCCACTGTCAGATTTTGTTTGCCTTGGACTATGTTTGTTATTTTGCTTACTATCAAGTAGTGCATTTCAGGTTCCATATACCTAACGTGACAAGGTTACTGCTCTGCACAATGTACCCAAAGAGTTGGCTACAACTGTTTTAAAAATTATTTGGGGTAAATTCTTTCCAGGGATCCAATACTTTAGACAATGCTGCATATAAACTCCTGAATGTTAATATCAGTTCATCCATTCCCTCATTGTATTACATTTTAGTAATACTATTGTTTTAATGTCAGGGGGCCATTTTGAGCCATCCTGCTACAAATACCCTTTGTGACATTAGTGTGATCAAATTCAAAAGTGTTTGATTATGTTTGTGAATTCCCTCAATCGGGCGAGACACTGGGAAGGTCCAAAGAGAGAGATCAATTGCTCTCCATAAAACCTCTGTCACTAGATCCATTATGCTCTTCCAGAAACCATGCAATTTTGGGCAATCTCACCACATGTGTAGGTATGTACCTTTGTAACCACAAAGTCACCAGCAGAGGACTATTGGATTTTTACATATTCTATGTAACTAAACTGGGGTCACATGCCATCTGAATATCCTTTTAAACATCTGTTCTTGAGCTAAGACAAACTAAGATTTTTGCGGCTGCTTCCCAAATTTCTTCCCACTCTCCTCCTTCTAGGGTATCACCCAAATCTGTTACCCATTCATTGATATATCTTGGTTGTCCCCATATTGAGGATTCTTTGTTTAGATGTGTATTTAGGGAGATCAGGTCATTTTGTATTTTCCTTCATTACATAATAGGTAAAATGAAAGAATGTGGAAAGTAATATTGCTACTTATTTGATATCTATAGGTTGTGCGAAATCCATTATCTGGAGGTAGCAGAAGAAGTCACTGGTTATTAGGTTGTTACATCTTTTCCGATTTGTTAAGGTTACATTTTCCAAGTTGGCCTCCAGTACCTCTAATGGCAAAAAAACTCAAAAGTTTTTCCTTAACATCTAGAAATTGTTTGACAAAATCCCAAGCATCATTTAAGTGTTTTAGAATATAGCTTTGAATGTTTGGTAGAGGTTTACGATAACAATTCCATATTAATTTGAGTTACACTATAATTATTCAATCCGATCGTTTCCATCTTAAACCAACGTTTGTTAAATTGTGTTTCCAGCTGAAAGTTATTATATGTAACTATGCTTGCAAAATAGTTATACTTAATATTAGGGAAGGTTAGGACACCTTTCTCTTTTTTTCTAGAGAGTAATGAAAGATTTAATCTTGGATGTTTCCCCTTCTAAAAATATAGATTAAAACTCCTTTGTAGCATCTTCAGTCAACTATCTGGAATTTTGAGAGGTAGCATTTTAAATAAGTATTGCTATTTTGGTAATAGATATACATTAATTATATTGTCCCTACCTATCCACAATACTTTTACATATTTCCATTCTTTCAAAGTATGATTTGTAGCTTTTAATAATTCCATAAAATTAATTTCCATACAAGTTTTGATATTTTTAGCTACTTTTATTCCTAGGTAGTTTGTTTTTTTAGATCATAAGAAGTCATATTTAATTTAAATTTTGTTTTTTATCTCTGTTAAATCACATCCCATAATAATTGATTTTCCTATATTAATCTAAAAATTAGAAGCTTTGCCATATACAGCAAATTCTACCATTAAAGGTTACAATGAAGTAATTGGGTTTGTTAATGTAATCAGTGTATCATCTGCATATAAATTATTTTTTTATTCTAATGATTGAAATACAATCCTTTTGATATTTTTGATTTCCCTAATCCTACATGCAAATGGTTTTAAACAAAAAAAATAAAGCAATGGGGAAAGTGGGCACCCCTGCTGGGTTATTTTCAATAGTGGAAACCAATCAGAGCAGATGTTTTGCCCTACAACTCTGGCTGATGGTGCTTTAAAGAGAGCCATTATAGCCTTATGTATCCAACCATCTATACCCACTCTTTTCAAAGTCATACTCTGATATCCACAGCCAACCCTGTCGAAGGCCTTCTCTGCATCCACCGACAGGGTCATCATGGGAAGGCATGTTCTATTTGCAAAATCCAAAATGTTCAAACATTTCCTTGAATTTGTAATAGCTGTTCTGTTTGAGAAAAAACCCACTTGATCAGGATGCACAATGGTACCTATGACCTTCTTAAGTCTTTACGCCAATCTAGATGCATATAATTTAAGATCATTGTTTAGAAGTGAGGTGGGTCTGTAATTTTACATTCTAGTGGGACGCTTTCCTTGTTTCAATATAGGTATTGTATTAGCTCTTAATAAAACCTTTGCAAATGTCCCTTTTTATGTTGCTTTATTAAACATTCCTACCAAATTAGGGAGGAAAAGAGCACCAAATTTCTTTTAGAAAAGGACACTGTAGCTGTCTGGGCCCGGGTTTTTTTGTCTTTCGTAGTCGATTTGAAAGGAGTGTATTCACCTTATTGTTGTTATTATAGTGATTCATTTTTAATTTAGACAAATTGATTGCAATTTTTTCTCTGAGTTTTACATTGATTTTTTCTTGTATTTTATTCAGTTCAAAGCACAAATAAAGCAACATAGCGTATAACTGTGTATATAAATAGATCATAGAAATTGCGTTCACAAGTAGCCACTCACACTTTTACTGAAGTTTGCAAGACTTGAATATTTGTTTATTTTTAAGATGATAATTCCAAATCTTCTATCTGGATTAGAATCTCCATAGATGCATTTAGATATATGTGCTCAAGAAAGGAAATATAATAAAATTGAGGTGCACATTCAGAATGAAGTACAAAATGAATTTTAATAACTTACATCGAGATATAAAATCATTAGTGTAGTCCCTCTATGTCACCACCAAGGGTCCTACGTGTTTCATCCAGAGAATAGGACTTCCTCAGGGACTTGCGTGGTGTACAATAAACATATACAAATGAACATAAAATGAAAAAATAAAATCCCCCTCCCTCCCCAGTCCTTATATACATCCGTTATAGGTCGATATTAAATCTAACAGGTTAATTATGTTTAATTAACTTCATATAAATGGAAGGAATTTTGCGACTTACCCCCACAATTTCTTTCAATTTCAAAATTAACTAGATTCCCATAATGCATACAATTTACAGATCCCAAGGTATTTCCAATTTACCCATTATAAATTCTATTTTATAGTTTAGCCAAAAACATCTATTAATTTGGCTTCTTGGGGTAAAAAAATATATTAAATGTAGATGGAGATAGTAGCTTAGATCTATTATAAGATCTAAGATAGATCCTATATTCAAAAAGGGTTCAAAATACTTGCCTGTAAATTATAGACCTGTGAGCTTAACTTCTGGGGCTGGTAAAATATTTGAAAGGTTATTAAGGGATAATATTCAAGAATTCCTTGAGAAGAACATTATCAGCAAAAATAAGCACGCTTTTATGAAGCACAGGTCATGTCAAACTAACTTGATTGCATTCTACGAAGAAGTAAGTAGAAGTATAGATCAGGGTGTTGCCGTGGATGTGATCTATTTGGATTTTGCCAAGGCATTTGAGACAGTTCCACACAATAGATTAGTGTTCAAACTCAAGGAAATCGGTCTAGATGAAAATGCTTAAAAACAGAGTACAAAGAGTTGTCATTAATGGTAAATTTTCAAGCTGGACAGAGGTGGCAAGTGGTGTCCCTCAGGGGTCTGTTCTGGGACCCCTTCTATTTAACATTTTTATAAATGATCTTGAAGACCGCATTGAAAGTCATGTTTCAGTGTTTGCAGATGACACAAAACTTTGTAAAACAATACAATGTGAGCAAGATATTACTTTGCTGCAGAGGGATTTAGATAGGGGACTGGGAACTCAAATGGCAGATGAAATTTAATGTTGAAAAATGCAAAATTATGCACTTCGGCGTAAAGAATAAACATGCAAC